TGCTCCACCGCGGGGCCGGTCTGCAGGAGCAGGAATCAGACTTGAGGCAGCCAGTCCCTGTCATCGGGCCCCTGGTGCTCCTCCAGGCGATGGCCAGCTGCTATGACCCGACACCACTCGGTGCTTGCTTCTCCCACCCCAGAAAGTGGGGCAGAGGGTCCTTCCCCCAGGTGCTGACCCTCAAAAGGAGCGGCTGACTTTATGGTCCTCAAGTTACTTTAGTCCCTGGGCTGCAGGTTCACAACAGGCTACGAGGGCGGGGCGGGGGGTGGGGGGAGAAACATGTCCAGCTTTTACAGCAGAAAGAGATTTACTCAAGAAGGCCTCGGCCAGGACCCAGGTGACCCGAACTCCAGCCCAGACGTTTGCCACCACAGAACGAGGCTCTGCGGACCTCCCCTCACAGGAAAGAAGCCAAAAGACAGCCCGGTTCCTGAGAAAGGCTCATGACAAGACAGCCTGCGCTCCCGCCCCGCCTCCCGCACCCACCGCCTTCCTGTGGAGCAGCAGCTGCAGCATGGGGATGGCATAGGCGGCCGTCTTCCCCGAGCCAGTGCGGGCCCGAGCCAGGAGGTCCTTCCCCTCCAGGGCCAGCGGGATGGCCTTCTCCTGAATCAGCGTGGGCCGCGACCAGCCCAGGTCCGTGACGGCCTAGGAGACGCGGGGAGGCTCAGGGGCGAGCACCTTCCACCCCCGCCACCCGCCCAGCCCCTCAGCCCTCCACCTCCCGCCACACGCCCAGCCCCTCAGCCCTCCATCTCCCGGCCACACCGGCCCGGCCCCTCAGCCCCGCCGGGTACCTGCAAGAGCCGAGGATCCAGGCCCATGTGTTCGAACCCCAAAGCCTCCTCCTCCGCCATTCTGTTTCCGGAATGCGGCGCGCACGCGCGGTAGGAGGAGCGTGCGACGTGTGGGCGGGTCAAAGCAGCAACCAATCAGCGTCGTCGGAGAAGCCGGGTTTCCGGTGTCGGGGCGGAGCTCCAGGGCTGCGGCGGCGCGCGGGGCCCGGGGTTCCAGGCCGAGGCGGCGGGCGGCGGGCGGCTGGGGGTGGGGGTCGCGTGAAAGCCGCCGGGCATCCTCCCGTCCTGGACGCTGCCTCCTAACGCGGCGCGGCGGGCCTCTCCGCTGCGGGGACGGGCGGGTGGGTGCGGGTGGTCCCAGCGCCCGCCGGGCCCGCGGCCCGCTAGTGCACCGGTGCAGGCTCCGGCTGGACCCTCGTTAGCGCGTCTTTGGTCGGCCTCGCCCTACGCCCTGGCCCCGCTGCCCGTGGCTCCGTGGCGGCCTCATGCGCGCCCTCGCCTGCCAGCTGCCGGGTCTCTGTCCGGTCTGTGAGGGCGCTGCCTGCCCTCCTGCGCCAGGAGATGCCCGCAGACGTGGTCCGGCCGGACCGCCGGGCAGTGGGGCAGCAGCCGTCCGGAACGCCGTGGCCGCGGGGGGAGCGGCGTGGGGCGGCCAGAGGCTGGCAAAGGAGCAGGGCTCGGACAGCCCCAGTGGTAGGTCTGTGCCAGGTCGAGGGTTGGAAGGATGAGTAGCAGGAGACACAGGTAGGGAGGTCTGTCCGGGCTCCCAGACAAGACTGCCCATCAGCTAGCTGCACAGCCTGGTTAAGAATGTGGGTTCCTGCCCCTGGGCGCGTTTCCCCGTCTCTCTGGCTTTCTCCTAAGCTCCAGCCCCCCCCCCTTTTTTTTCTTTTGCCTCCTGTTTCCTGGGGTCATTTCCCCTATGACTTACTTCCTCTGCGACTGTTTAAATACGCTTTTTCCTTATAGTTTTTTTTTGGGGGGAAAAACGAGGCTCTAGTCCACGTGTCAAACACAAGGCCCGCGGGCCAAATCCGTCCCGCTAGGCCTTGCAATGTGGCCCGCACCGCGCTGTCATCACTGCACTCCGCTGCTTTTCCATCACAATGACAGTTTATGACTGTTCAGTAAACCATTCGGCCCGAGATTTAGGCTGGATTTTAGATTTTGGCCCCTTCCCTGATTGAGTTCGACACCCCTACGTCTAGTCAGTTTGGCTCAATGGATGGAACGTCTGCCAGCGAGTGAAGGGGTCCCCGGTCCGATTCTGGCCAGGGGCACATATCCAGGTTGCTGGCTCCATTCCCAGTGTGGGGCATGCTGGAGGCTGCAGATCAATGATTTTCTCTCATCATTGATGTTTCTCTCGCTCACTTCCTCTCCGAAATCAATAAAAATATATTTAAAGACAAAAAAAGGGGGGACTATTGGTTCCCACCTGTATTAGTTTGGTATTGCTGCTACAACAATTACCATAGCTTAGTGGCTTAAAACGCAGGAATTCACTTATGGTTCTGTAGGTCAGAAGTCTGACAGGTCCCACGGAATTGAAATCAGGCTGTTGGCAGGGCCGCGTTCCCTTGGAGACTAGAGGAACAGTTTGTCCTGCCTTTCGCAACTTGCTGAAGGCCCCTTGCTCCATCTGTCTTCACAGCCAGCAACAGCGAGTGGGCTGAGTCCTCAAGTCCCATCAGACCTTCCTTTGCTGCCCTCCGCCACTTTTAAGGAAACTTGTGACGATACAGGGCACAGCCAGGTAATCCAGGACAATCTTTTAAAATCAGCTGTTAGTACCTTAATCCCCTTTGCCATGTTAGGCAACATATTCGAAAATTCCAGGGATTAGGACATGGACATCATTGGAGGGTCATCCTGCCTATCATGCGACCCCAAACATAAACCTGCTTCTTCAGTTTTGTGAGCCAAACTGAATTTTAAAAACATTTAGGCCTGTTCTAATGTTAGCCAGTTTGGCTCTGATTGAGAGTCCACCCCTGAGCCAGGATGTCACAGTTTGATTCCTGGCCAGGGCAAATGCCAGGTTTTGGGATTCCCTAGTGGAGGTGTGTGGGAGGTGCCCAAACAATGATTCTCATCACTGATGTTTCTATCCCTCTCCAATCTCTGAAGTGAATAAAAACATGTTAAAAACACACACACTTTCAGGGTGTCATGACTGTGAACACCACACAGCAGTATGGAAATCCTCTCACCTGCCCTATCAGCTAGTAGTGTAATATAGCCATATATCTGTTTCATTCCACTCCCCTTCCAATCAAAACTTGACAGGAGAAATAGACATAGACATAGACCTATCGACAATTTAGATGCAATCGTGTTGCCCTCGATGGTTTGGCTCAGTGGATAGAGCACCAGCCTGCAGACCAAAGGGTATTGGGTTCGATTCCAGTCAAGGGCACATACCTTGGTTGCCAGCTCTTTCCCGGACCAAGCCCTGCTCAGGGCTCATGCAGGAGGCAACCTATAAAGGTTTCTCTCACATTGATGTTTCTGTCTTTCCTTCCCTCTTCCACTTCCTTAAAAAAATAAAAATAATAATAATAATGGAAAAATACCTTTGGGTGAGGATTAACAAGATGCAATTCTGTCTACAGCTGGCAGACTTTGAAGCCAGCCTCAGCTCTCACCTGGAGCTTCCATCCTCCCACAGACTCCAGGCTCTTACAGGCTGGATTCATAGTAACAGCCGCAGGGTAGACACAGGTTCCCTTTCCGACATATCTCAGACTCCCCCAGCCTCAGGCCAGTGGCCTGCACAGCCTGCCAGCTCCATGTTTCCCTGTTTACTATAACATGAAGAAAACTGGAACCTATTCAAAATATCCAAAGAATTTTAGATATATCAATTGTGGTATTTCCCCTTACTGGGATAACATGGCCATCCAGAATTAGAATGTAGAATTTCAAAAATAATTACAAAAATATTCAATGGCAATGCCCGTAAGTCTAAATTGCATATATTTTTACAAGTAAAAACAGATACATATGTAGAATAATATAGGAAATAAAGAAAAACAAAGAATTTAGTTCTGTAGGTCAGATAAATAATAAATCCATGAAATAAACACATCAAAAACGGGCCAACTGATGGTATTGTTTCCTATAGAAGATGGCATAGGGATGTGTAGTGAGACCTGCTTAAACTTACGATCTGGGACTTAAGCCCTTCCTACAGTCCCTTGCTGGTGTTTCTACTTGGTTGACCCATGTGAATGGATGAGGAACCACTTGTCCACTCACATCCCAAGACTGAGATCAGAACAAGCCCTAGCACTATGAGCCCACACGCTGCAGTCCACTCCAGGCAGCTGCAGGGGCAGTCCAGGCCAGTAGCCCTTCCTCTGTAACCACATGCCTCCACTCTGCCCGTAACCTCTCACTTCATTTCAAACACAGCTAGTACAACACGTTTTATTTCACTGGAAAAATCTGTATAAAGAACCAAACCTGGTTCCATGAAGACATTTACCTTAGCTTAAATAAAGGTCAAGGGGAGAGGGTGGGTAGGAGTGCCCTGCCTTGTGCGAGGTTGCCCTACACTCTTAGCGAGGTCCTGTCTTGTGAAATCTCAAGTGTCCCAGAGAAGTCTGCTTGGCCCTCTCTTCAAGGCCTTGACAGCAGTGGGGACGTCTGCTTTCTGGCCCACAGACGGCTGGAATCCTGAGAGCTGCCATAGTACTTATCAAAAAAGTGTGGACAGACAGAATGCAAGGGGCTGTTGGTGTTTTCTGCTAGTCATACAGGCAGTTAACACTTAAACTAGGAAAGAAAATATATACTTTATCAAAAAATAGTTCTAATATATAGAAAATCATTTCAATCCTCTAGGGCCTCTGCCCCTTATTTACATTCACAAAGCCACTGGGAGAGCCCAGGACTGACGGGAGCAGGGAGGCAGGGCCTCTTGGGGCATTGCCGTAGCTTACTGCATGAGTAGATGAGGACAGAAGTTACCAGAGAGACTCGTCATTTGCTCAGGTGGTGACAGGATGCCGGGAAATCACTGGAGGTGAGAGAAGTGAGACCTAGTCCTGGGTCAGATCTGACTGTGCACAAACCTCAAGAACCTTTGAAAGCGTGGATCAACGTCCTGTGTTCTTGAGAACCATCATTAGCAAGTGGCTGATCGGGACGCTTTGCGGCCAGGGAACCAATGTGGTTTATGTATTTTCTTCCCCCCCCTCACAAGCCAGGTGGATAAGGTATAGGGTGGGGAAAGTACCAAATAACTGAGGTGAGAGGGTCATTCGGAGAGGACATTACACCAGCTTCTTGGCCTCAAAGAAGCTCTTGAGATGCCGCATCTGCCAGATGCCAGTGAGGATGAGGATGACGGTCTGAGTGATGGACCACCACAGGACCCTCTGGTTGGTGCTCTCACTGGTCAGACGGAAGCGCTCTTCACGATACTGTGGGACAGCGGACCGGGATCGAATGTGCAGGGAAAACCAGTGCTGGCTGGGTAAGCCACCCCCTCCCACAGGGCTACTCAACCATGACACCCAATGCCTGCCGGCCCGACTCCTCTGGGAGTGCCCCACAGAAGTGCGTGCAACCTCGGGATGCACCCCACAGCGATGAAGTCATGCTCCTACCATTTCAAGCCAGATCCCAAGGTGAACAGATGGTGCTTAGATTTTTACTCTATTGAACAGCACTTGAAAAGAGCCCTCTAGACCAGACATTTCCAACCGTTGTGCAGCAACCATTTTTAAAAAATGCAATACGTGACTATTTAGGCAGAGGCACTGACTTCTTTTTTCTTAGATGGTCAAATAAATAAATGACAAGAGCCAACCCAACAACAGTCATCCAGTATGAATGAATTAGAATTAGACCTAACCCTGGATGACAATGGCCCAATGGTTAGACAATCAGCCTGGGAACCAAAGGGTCTCAGGTTTGATTCCCAGTCAAGGGCACAGCCCTGGTTGGGAGACAACCAATCAATGTGTCTCTCTCACATCAATGTTTCTCTCTCTTTTCCCCAACTCCTCCCCACTTCCTTCCATTACCTCTAAAAATCAAATCAATGGAAAAAATATTCTCGGGTAAGGATTAACAAAAAAACAAACAAAAAAGTTATACCTACTTTTTGTCAGATCAGAAAAAAAAAAAAAGTATATTTTTTGGTGTGCCACAGAAATTTTGGTAATTAATTTATGTGTGCCACATGAGATGAAAAAGTTTAAAATTGCTGCTCTAAATCAATACCCTCCATTCCATTCTCGGAACAGTTCGTTGGGAAGGCCCCAAGCAGAAACTCCAGCGGGTGTGGTGGGTATAAAGGTCAATGGCCAGGTCCCAGTACAGCGACATGCCCTTACCCTTTGGTAGTCCTGCTCCTTCTGGATCTGCTCCACCTGATCGAGCAGCTGGCGGGCTCGGAGCTGCAGCTCTGTCAGTTTGTCCTTGGCAGCAATCTCAGGGTAGTTGTTGGCATGCTCTCCAACCTGGATGTCTAGGTGCACGCGCTACAAGGACACAGGGTCAGAGCCCCAAAGCCACAGGGTAAGAAACATGAGCGGGGGAGCCTCAGACGATGTTCCAGATGATGCAACCCACTCATCCCTGACTGTGGGACAGAGGGGCAACATCTGTCTCCCCAATTGTGACTATGCCACAAAGGTCACAAATAATGATGGAGATAAATCAAAACTTTGGAACCTAGTGAAATTCTGAGCTGCAGCAGCGAAAGAACTTTTTTCCTTTTTTAAAATGTCATTTTATTGATTTCAGAGAGGAAGGGAGATGGAGATAGATACACAAACATCACTGATGGGAGAGAATCATTGATTGGCTGCCTCCTACCCGCCCCCCACTAGGGATCCAGCCTGCAACCCAGGCACGTGCCCTAGACGGGAAATCCAACCGTGACTTCCTCTCATTCACAACTCGCAGCTCAAGCACTGAGCCACACCGGCCAGGCATGCAAGAACATCCTCTTACCAGTCTGCCACCAGCAAAAAGCACCATCCTGGTGGAGTTGGAGTGCAGGCAGATCTGATGGTCCCCGGGGGTGTGGGAGGTGAAGGTGAAGCGTCCCTCCGAGCCATACTGCCGCGAGAGCACCACCTGCAACCAGCACAGCGGTCAGTGGAAGCCCCTGCGCGGACCTCTCCAGGGCAGTGGGCGGTCTCCTAGTTCTGCACACCCCACAGGGCTCTGGAGAAGGGCGGCCTGACGCCGTCTGCAGGGCGCACAGGCCACGGCCTGTGGATGCCCTACCTTGCCTTCGGGGTCCTTCACCTCCACGTGCATGCCCAGACCCGGTGTCGAGGGCAGGAAGACCTCCTTCTGCTTATCCCACATCTGGGTGCGGTAGTTCCCTGCGGAGCGACAAAGATGTCACAATGCGCCTCGACTGCCGGCTCCCACACTCCGAAGGGGACCGCGGCCGCGCCTGAGGGACACGCAGGGCCCAGCCCACCCCCACCCCCACCCCCACCCCCACCCCGCCTGACCGATGACCATGGTCTCGTCGGGGATTTCCTCGATGAAGCAGCGCTTCTCGGTCTCGCCGATGTGGAAGTAGAGCCCCCGCACGCGCACCGCGCACAGCAAGAGCAGCAGCAAAGCGGGCCACCCCATCGCGAGTCGCCGAGGGGACTCGACACCTGTCACCGAGCGCCCTCCGTGCAATGCGCATGCGCACGCCTGCGCCCCGCTTCCAGGCGGCGCGGCTCGGCCGGACGCAGAGCGCGCACGCTGACGCAGTCCTGCGTCTTCCAGGCCAAAGAGCGCGGGCAGGCGGAGAGTGCGCATGCGCGGGACGCCCGGGGCGGGGGTGGTCCGACAGCCCTCAGTGACGTAGCCCAGTACCAGCACCTGCCAACTCGCACCCCTGGCCGGCGCACGGGCGCGCGCCTGCGCACCACACCAGCAGACGCAGCAGCACGGCGCGTGAAGTACGCATGCGCAGAAACGCCTCTCCCGCCCCCTCCTCCCCTCCCCTCCCCGTCAGCCCGCGCGGCGGCCGTGGGCACGCAGTGAGGCCCGGGCTGGGGCTGACCGGGACGGAGGGCGGAAGGAGGCATGCGTCTTAGATGCGCGTGGAGGGTCAGGCCGGTGAGACCTAAGGGCTTTGGCAAATGAGAACCTGCTAGGCCCCTAGAGCCTAGGGGATTATGTTTGAGGAATGATTTGATCTTAGTTTTTAAAGTTATCCCGTCCTGGCAAAAGTTGATTGTAAAACATAAGGATCACCAGTGGTACAATATACTTTTCTAAGTAATGTTTAATCTGAATCAGGTATTTTGTCTTGCAGTTTACAGGAAACGAAGACGTTTAGAGGAAAAGACAAAGCCACCCTAGAATATAGGACTGTGGGTTCAACCTTTAAAAGACTAAAGTGAAGAAGAGGGGGCGGTGGACACCTTGTGGTGAGGCAGAGTCTGCAGACACTGGTGCCTACAATGCTTCCCTTCTCGGATCCATGTGCTCTTCCATCGAGGGGTGAGATCTTTTTCCCTCCACCGGAGCCTTGGCTGGCCAGACATGGCTGAAGCCTGGGCTTCCGGCTTCCATTTTCACTCCTGAAACCCAGCTGTCACCCCACCCTACTGAGTGGCCAGTCATTGGAGGAGCTGCCTCAGCCAACACATGGCACAGGCTCAGCTAACCCCCAAACAAACAACTACTCTATGCAATTATGCAACTGGGGAAAAATGAGGTCATGCTCTGTAAACTGACAGAGAAAGATTTCCAGGATATATTGCTAAGTTTTATTTTATTTATTTATTTTATTATTATTATTTTTAATATATTTTATTATTTTGTACAGAGAGGAAGGGAGATAGAGAGCTAGAAACATCGATGAGAGAGAGTCATCGATCAGCTGCCTCTTGCACACCCTCTAATGGGGATATGCCCGCAACCAAGGTACATGCCCTTGACCGGAATTGAACCCGGGACCTTTCAGTCCCCAAGCCGACGCTCTATCCATTGAGCCAAACCGGTCTCGGCTATTGCTAAGTTTTAAAGGCAAGGTGCAGCCCTAATGGGTTTGGCTCAGTGGATAGAGCATGTGCCCTTGGACTGAAGGGTCCCACGTTCGATTCTAATTAAGGGTGTGTACCTCAATTATAGATTGGATCCCCCGTCCTAGTTAGGGCACGTGTTGGAGGCAACCAATTGATGTATCTCTCACCCATGTCTGTCTGTTTCTCTCTCTCTGTCTCCCCCTCCGCTCCCTCTTTTTTAAAAAAAATGGAGCCGAAACCAGTTTGGCTCAGTGGACAGAGCTTGGGCCTGCGGACTGAAAGGTCCCGGGTTCGATTCCGGTCAAGGGCATGTACCTTGGTTGCTGGCCCATCCCCAGTAGGGGGTGTGCAAGAGGCAGCTGATTGATGACTTTCTCTCATCAATGTTTCTAACTCTCTATCCCTCTCTTCCTCTCTGTAAAAAAATCAATAAAATATATTTTAAAAAATAAAAATAAAAAATGGAAAAATATCCTTGGGTGAGGATTTAAAAAAGAAAAGCAAGGAGCAGAGAGAGTACATTATCTTTGGTGTTTGTATTTGATGGAAAAACACTGGAAGACTAAGATTAATATAAGAGATTATTTATTTTATTTTATTTATTTTTTTAAAATATATTTTTTATTGATTTTGTACAGAGAGAAGGGAGAGAGAGAGTTAGAAACATCGATGAGAGAGAGAGAGTCATCGATCAGCTGCCTCTTGCACACGCCCTAGTGGGGATATGCCCGCAACCAAGGTACATGCCCTTGACTGGAATCGAACCCGGGACCCTTCTTCAGTACCCAAGCCGACGCTCTATCCATTGAGCCAAACCGGTCTCGGCTAAGAGATTATTTATAAGTATCATGAATATTCAATCAATGTACACCAGTATGACTGTATTGATTAAAATAGAAATACTTCTGTTCTAGTTGGTAAATAGCCACTCTGCAAGCCCTGAATTCCCTCCACCTTTGCTTTCACAACTGATACCAGTTGCCTCATGATCCTACAAATAGTTACTTCTGGCAGGAAAGGAGTCTGGCAGGCCAGCAGATAATGAGGTAAAAGGTACAAGAGAGATTTTGCAAACTAGAACTTTTCATAATATTTTTTTCCCCATTCAACAGGTTGCCTTTTTGTTTTGTTTTGTTTTGTTATTTATTTCAGAGAGAGGAAGGAGAGGAATTAGAAACTTGGTGAGAACCATTGATCCAAATGCCTCATGAAAGCACCCTACTGGAGATGGAGCCCACAATCCAGGCATGTGCCCTGACTGGGAATTGAACCTGCCACCTTATCAGCGAGGGCCTTTTAATATCCTTTTATTTTCAAACCATGTGTATATGTTACCTATTTAAAATAAAATTTAAATATTAGTGTTACCACCATTCTCTATCACACTACCATTTTATGGGTTTGAAACCAGCAATTGCTGTCATGTTGGTTTACCCTAAAGGGCAGCTCCATCACATAAATACTGCCTGTCTCTGGTAGTCACCTCTCTATCCCCAGCACCTACAACCCATCTGGTATAACTATCTGTCAATAATGAAGAATGTATACTTTGATGAAAAAGCATGTTAAGCAAAAGCCATGGAATGCAATGAAGGCAGTGTTCAGAGGAGAATTCAGTCATAAATGTCTACATTAAAAAAGAAGCTATAAAATCAGTAACCTAACTACATTTTGAAGAACTAAAAGAGAAGGGGGGGGGCAAACTAAACCCAAACGAAGAAAGGAAAAAATGAAAAATAGAGATAAATAGCTATTTATCTATTTAGTGTGGCTCAGTTGATTGGCATGTCATCCTGTAAACCAAAAGGCAGTGGGTTCAAATCCTAACAGGGCACATACCCAGGTTGCAGGTTCGGGGCGAGGGCCGAAGGCAACTGATGGATATTTCTCATATCGATGTTTTCTCTTTCAAAAACAAGCAAACAAATATGTCCTCAGGTGAGGATTTTTAAAAATTATAAAAATTAGAGATAAAAAGTCGATGAAAGCAAAAGTTGGTTCTCTGAAAAGATGAACAAAATTAATAGACCTTTAGCAAGACTGACAAAGAAAAACAGACTTAAGTCACTAAAATCAGAAATGAAAGTAGAGACATTACTACTGACCTTAAGGAAATAAAAGGGATAAGATAATACGGTGAACACACACCAACAAATAAGATAATTTAGATGAAATAGACAAATTCCGACACACAAATTACCTAAAGTAGTGGTTGGCAAACTCATTAGTCAACAAAGCCAAATATCAACAGTACAACGATTGAAATTTCTTTTGAGAGCCAAATTATTTAAACTTAAACTTCTTCTAACGCCACTTCTTCAAAATAGACTCGCCCAGGCCGTGGTATTTTGTGGAAGAGCCACACTCAAGGTGCCAAAGAGCCGCATGTGGCTTGAGAGCAGCAGTTTGCAGACCACAGACCTAAAGTAACATAATTAAGAAACAACTGGTATGGAATGGGTGGCTTCCCAGGTGAATTGTTTTTTGTTGTTGTTCTTTTTTTCCCCCCTGGTGAATTCTATTAACCATTTAAAGGAGAATTAACACCAAACCTATTTAAGCTCTACCAACAAACTGAAGTGGGAACACTTCCTAACCGATTCTATAAAGCTGGCAATACACTGATTTACTAAAGCCAAAAACATCATAAGAAAAGAAAATCAGACCAATATCTCTTATGAATATAGATGCAAAACTCAATAGCAATAACAAATAATAAACCTCAACAAAATACAAGTAATCCAAATCCAACTGCATCTTTAGATGATTTTACATCATGACCAAGTGGGATTTGCCCTATGAATGCAAGGATAATTCAACATGAGAAATATCAATCGATGTAATACACCACAATGATAGAACAAAAGGGAGAAAACATCCTTACTCAATGGATGGAGAAAGGCATTTAACCCTTTCATTTCAAACCTATTCAGAAAAGTAGGAATAGAAAAGAACTTCCACAACACAATGAAGGATAGCTACGAAAATCTCACAGCAAACCTAATGATGAGAGACAACGTTTTTCTGTAAGATCAGGAACAACCAAATTAAAAGACTTGTATGCCAAAAATTACAACACATTGCTGAAAGGAATTAAGGAAGACACAAATAAGTGGAAAAAACAGCACATGTTCATGGTCTAGAAGACTTAATATTGTTAAAATGTAAAAACTACCCAAACAATCTACAGATTCAACACAATCTCTATCAGAATTTCCACAGCCTTTTTTGCAGAAGTGGAAAAGCCAAACTTTACATTTATATGAATTTGTGAGGGGACTGACATAGCCAAAATAATTTTGATAAAGTTGGAGAATTCACTTATGGATTTCAAAAATTACTACAGAGCTACAGTAATCAAATAGTATGGCACTGGCATAAAGATAGCATACAGACCAATGGAACAGAATTGAGAGTCCAGAAATAAACCGAATATATATGGTCCACTGATTTTTCAAAGAGAATACCAATCCATTCAATGGGAAAAGAATGATCTCTTCAACAGCTGTTGCTGGGACAGCTGGAATTCCACATGCAAAAAAGATGAAGTTGAATCTCTGCCATACATCATATTAAAAAATAAAATCAAAATGGATAAACAACCTAAATATAAATGCTAAAACCATAAAACTCTTAGAAGAAATATAGGGGTAAATCTTCATGATTTCAGATTTGGCAATGGATTTTTAGATATGAGTAATAATAACAAACATGGGTAGAATGGACTTCATCAAAATCTAAAACTTTTGTTTGTCAAAGAACAGTACAAAGAACGTGAAAAGAATGGGAGAAAATATTTATAAATTATATATCGGGTAAAGATTTAACAGGCATAATATATAAAGAACTCAGACAAAACAAGACAAAAACCCAATTCAAAAAAGATTTGAATAGACTTTCCTCCAACGAAGATATAAAAGTGGCTGAAACAAAAATAAGATAAAATAAAATAAAAATAAAAATGGCTGAAACAAATGAAAAGATTCTTGACATCATATAGTGATAAGGAAATGCAAATCAAGACCAAAATGAGATCACCTCATATCTAGTAGAAGGCTATAATACATTTTTAAAAAGAAATTAAGAAGTATTGATGATGATATGGAGAAATTGGAACCTTCATGCATTGCTGGTGGGAATGCAACATGGTGTCGCCACTGCGGGGAAACAGTTAAACATTTCCTTAAAAAGCTAGACACAGAATTACCATATCGCCCTCCACAGCTATTCCTAGGTGTTATAAAGGGAATTATAAACAAGTACTCAAGATACTTGTAAGCCAGTGGTCATTGTAGCATTATTCACAATAGCCAAATGGTGAAATAAGCCTAAATGTCCATCAAATGATGTATAGACAAGGTGCAGCATGTTCATACAAAGGTATATGTTCAGCCATAAAAATTTCTGACACGTTACAACATGGATGAACCTTGAAACATGCTAAGGAAAATAAGTGACACATAAAAGGGCAAATACTGTATGAATTCACTTATATAAGATAACCAGAGTTGTCCATTTATAGGGGTAGAAAATACAGGAAGAAGGGAAAGGGGAGATGAAACGGAAGTTACTGCTTAATGGTTGAAGAGTTTCTGTTTGGAGTGGAGAAGAAATTTTGGAAAGAGTGGTGATGGTTGTACAACACTGTGAATGTAATTAATGCTACTGAATTGTACACTTTATTTTAAAATTTTATTAATTTCAGAGAGGAAGGGAGATAAAAACATCAATGATGAGAGAATCATGGATTGGCTGCCTCCTGCATGCAACACCCCCCCCCCCTCCGGAGATTGAGCGGCACCCCGGGCATGTGCCCTTGACTGAAATCGAACCTCTGACCCTTTAGTCTTCAGGCCAACGCTCTATCAATGAGCCAAATCAGCTAGGGCTGAATTGTACACTTTAAGTGACAAATATTTTCCTAAACACTTCACCACCATCTTTTAAGGGGGGGGGGGGGGGGAGAGGGACATACTGAGGTAGATCCTTGGTTCCTGCCCTTTCTCCCAGTCTCCAGACCCTGATCCCGCACATCAGCTCGACTTTGTTCTTATAAGCATATGCACAGTCCTCCCCACTTAAAACACCTCTTTCCCTTTAGAAATCGCTCTACATCCCTGTCAGAGCGGAGTGAGTGGCAGAGTCCCGGTCTGAATTCTGGCCCAGATCCCGTTATTTGTGTCGTCTCGTCTGTGCTCCTACCACGGTCAGAGCTCCAGTCAGATCGCGGCCCTGTCATCTCCGGACCCTCGGCGGTACTGCCGGGCACCGTGAAGAGGCTGCGAATGCACACAGAATCGTTCGGGGCAGCGCGGCACCCAGTGTCCCTGATGTCAGTCACTGGCATGCGACCTTTGGATACCGATCTATAACGAATAAAATCTTTACACGGAACCATTTATTACAAGGCAAACTACCATCACCGTAAAGAGGAAAACCGGTACCACTGGCCAAAAAACATCCAAGATAACCCCCCAGGTCAGGAAGACAGAGCAGCTAAGTTCCAGCTCCACACCGCCGCCCACCTGGGCTCCCGGGCCCGAGGTACGCCTCCCCTGGCCGAACCGGGGAAGGACGGACCGGGGAGCCGCGGGCCGGCGCTGGGAACGGGCTTCTCCGCGCCGCCAGGGGCTGGTTTCCGGTGGGACTGACGGCCACCCATCGACCTCAGTCCCAGGCTGCTCACTTCCCCATGTTCACATTGGGAAACGCTGCGTCTGACGGCCAGCCATGTCCTGCCAACACCGCTTGTCCTTCCTTAGCAAAACGGAAGGTAACGGCTCAGCCGACGCCCACTTGGGGAGCCCCTGTGTCCCTGACGGCTCCACGTAACCGGTGCGCGCCGGGCCCCCCGCTTCCCTCTCCCCCTCCGTCCGCCTCCCCGCTCCGCTCACGGGCCTCCGGCTGCCCGCGCAGGAGCCGGTCCCGCCAACACCCCTCTCCAGACCTGGCCCGCCGATCGGCCGGGCGCGCCCAAGGTCACCGCCCGGCACCCCTGCGCCCCCGCCCCCCCAAATCCCGCGCCCGCCCAGCCCGAGACCACGCGGAAGGAGGCGGCGCGACTCTGTGACGTAGCGCCCCGCCCCGCGACGGAGACCGCCCGCGGGCGGGGCTGCGTGCTGACGCCTCACGCCTGGGCGGGGTCGAGAGTTTGGTTCCCCGGAGCGGGGTGTCGGCGCCTCATTCGGGTGGAGCTGAGCTGGAGGCAGGTGAGTGCGCGCTGCCGCCGGGCCGGGCCGGGGTGGAGGAGGCTCTGCGCCCGCCGGGCAGAGCACGGGAGTCGCGGTGGAAGCCGAGGCCACCACGCCCTGTGGTCGCCGGCGCCGCGGTGACAGGGAGCGAAGCTGGATGGAACCAGGCTGACGGGGGAGGGTGGGCGGGACGGGGGTCTGACGGACGGCCGAGGCGGCCAATGGCGCGGCGGGCACCGCCTGGCGGGCGGAGATTGGCGGGTGCGGAAGCGCGTGGAGGTCGCGCGGGCTTCGGAGCGGCGCCCCATTGGCTGGGGCGGGCTGAGGGGCGGACCGCGCGGCGGACGTAAAGGAATGGCCCCGCCACCGGAGTGACTCCCAAGGTCGAGGAGGCGTCACGTGGGCCCGCCCAGCCGCGTCCTCTGCGCGCCCGGAGGGACTGACGGACGGACAGACGGACGGCGCGCCCTTGAAGCCGCTGTGGTTGCGGGCCCAGGGCTGCGCATGCCGCGCGAGGAGTGACTCTGCAGCACCCCAGGTGCGCCGTGCCCCCCGCCCTCGCTCCGTGCCACCCTCAGCGCCCCTCGTCCCCGTCCTTCCTCTGTGCTGCTTGAGGTGACACCCTCGGCTAGCCGCAGCATCCCGCGCCCTCAGCACCTACCCTGCTCAGTACCCCCCGTGCCCACCTTCCCTCTGTGGCCCTGGGGCGAGCACCCACGTCCTCCTCCTCTGCAGGAGGCTGGGAGGCCCATGCCGGAGGGAGACCCTATGATGGACCTTCCCTTTCGCACGGCCCCGCTGACAGTGTAAGAGGTGCCCGGACACTCAGAGTGAGACCAGGCCCAGCGGACAGCCTGCCCTCTGCGCCTCGCCCGGAACCGGCCCTGCTCGCAGCTGGTGCTGGGGGCCCAGTGCAGGGCATTGCTCTGGGCAGCGTTAGGGTGGGCGCCGGGATTTCGTGCAGACCTTCCCCAGGTGAAAACAGACAGTACTATTCCTGGTTTTGCAAATTAGCTGAGGACTTACTCTTAAAGTTGGAGAAGGATCAATATGCTGTGACTATCTTTTTGAGACCACTGCCCACATTCATTTGCTTTTTAAAAGATCTTCACCTGAGGCTGTGTTTCTGTTGAGAGAGAGGGAGAGAGGAACCTGGGGCCTTTCCGTGTGCAGACCAGGCAGGCTGCTACCTGCTGAGCCCCTCCAGTGCCAGTGCTGTTTTCTGGTTCTCCACCTTCTTTGACCTGACTGCTTGTAAGTTACTTGAACGTGGTTTTGAAATGTCACCTTTGTTGATATGTAGTGTTTTTGCACACATCTCTTTTTGTAGCTTTTCCGTAGTTGTTTGGTTATTTCGTTATATATATATACACAACTTACAGGTCCCCCGGGGTCATGATTTTTGTCAGGGTGGGTGAACTGGAGAAACGCTGCCTCATTGAAAACTGTCTGAACGATTCTCTCTGCGTACACTTAGAACCACATCAGACACGTAACTTTTGCTCTAGCCATTACACATAGTTTAGAAGCATGGAGAAGGAAATTATATTGACTCAATCTTTGTTTTTTCTCTTCCTTCCTTCCTTCATGGTGTTGGCAAGGTTCCTGCTTTTATCATGTCCTTCCTGCTTAGAAAAATTCCTTTAGCCATTCACAGAGGATAGGTCAGCTGGCAGCAATTTCTCTTCGGTTTTCTTCAGCTGAGAAGGATTTGATTCCCCTTTCATTTCTGAAGGTAATTTTTGCTGGATATGGGATTCTGAGTTGACAGTTATTTCCCATCTGCACTTGAAAAGTGTTGTCCCCCTTTCTCTAGGCCTCCATGATTTCTGACAAATATGCTGTTCAAGTTGTTTGTAGTTTCCAGAAGTTTACCTTGTCTTGGAGTGGACTTCTTAAGGTTTATTCTGTCTGGGGTTTACTCGGCTTGGAAAGTTCCCTCTGTTACTTCGCTGAATACTTCTGCAGCACCTCCGGCTTTTTCCTCCTCCTGGGATTCAGCTGATCTATTCGTGTCATCATTGGGTCTTTTGTGGTAGTCCCACCTGTCCCAAAGGCCCCGTTCATTTCCTTCAGTCTGTTTTCTCTGTTGTTCAGGTTGTGTGGTTTCCTTTATTCTGACTCCATAGTCACTGATTTCTTCTTTCTCCTCCATTCTGCAGTTGAACCCATCAAGGTTTCTGTGTTGGTGGTTGTATTTTCAGTTCTGAGTTTCCATTCAGTTCTTTATATCTCCTATTTCTTTGCTGAGGCTTTCTAGTTTTCTTTTGTTTCAAGCAGAAGTTTGTAGTTGCTCATGGTAGCATTTTAAGGCTGACTCCTTTAAAACCTGCCAGATACCCTAACATCTATGTCATCTTGGTGTTGGTATCTATGGATTCGTTTGTTTGTTTGCTTGTTTGTTTCAATGGAGATCTTTGTTCTTGGTTTGGTAGTGATTGTTGATGCAGCCTGGACATTTGGGCTTTATGTTACAAGACTGGATCTCATTTAAATCTCTTGAGTAAAACAGGCTTCCTCTGACATTGATGGAGTGGGAGGTGAGGGGATGGTGATGCCTGATTACCCCTCCCAGCCTGGTATTGGTATCTACTGTGTGGGTGTACATTCCCTGTTGGGCCTTATGGTTTCGCTCTGTCTGGGGCGGGCGGGTGTGGTCCTGTTTTTGTTTGGCGGGGTGAAATCCAGGCTTCTCTCCTGGCCTCACTGACATTGCTGGGCATGGAAGCCCCTGATCTCTGCTGACTTATAGGTGGGATGGGGCTGGACCACAGAGTTTTCTGTAAGTATGGCCATCACTGTCTGAAAATGTCTGTCCTGTTAGTCTGCCCTCTTGTCTTCAGCCCGGAGGAAGCAGCTCTGGTGTGGTTTCTGTCCACATTGGCTGGCGTTCCTGGGAACAGCTTCTCCGGCATGTGGTCTGGGATGTATGGAGCAAAGAGCACAGCAAGAACTCAGTGCTGTTCTTTCTTTCGCCCCAAAGCCCCTTCCCAGTCTGCTCCTCTCTCTGTTTTCACTGTAGCATTTCATGTTGTTAGCTGCAGTTAATAGGAACGGAAGTCCTGTTTATGCTTTTACAGGTTTTTAATAAACATTGGTAAATGGCCTTGCTTTCCATAAAGATTTAATAATTTGTACTCCAATCAACACCTTTGGACGTGCCTGTCGGTCTGCACCCAGGAGCACTGCGCCAGGACCCCTCCCAGCGAGGTCAGTCTGGGCCTGGCAGTCAACCCGGAAGCCCAGACGGAAAGCTGTTTGGGGTTCTACCTGTGGGCGCGGAAGTCCCTCCCAGAGGTCTGGCCAGCTGCCCGCTCCAAATTAACTTGCATTTAGGTTTTCCTTGAGAACTTCAGCTTTTTAAGAGAGACCTTTGGTTGGTCTTTTTCCTTGATAAGATGTAATTTTTTAACCACAGAGACCACTTTAGAGTGAGCTTTCACGTTTGCATCATCATCACAGGCGTTTAAGGTTAGTCAACAAGTTAGAGTCACCTGTTTGCCCTTCCGCTGCTGGATCCTCGTGTCCGTCTCATGAAGGCAAAATGCCTCCGTGGTTTAAACTCCTTTCCTGTCTCTCGTTTGTGTTTAATGAAGCCACAGGGGAAAGACATTGAGTTTGAGCTTTTCAGCTCAATGAGCGCCAGGAAGAATCAATCCTGTGCTCTGTGCCCAGGTTCTCCGCATCGCTAAACATCAAGGCAGGTGTGGAGCGACGGCGTCGTCCTCTGCCCCATTACAAGAACCTTAGGGGGCCAAAACCGGTGTGGCTCAGTGGATAGAGCATCGGTCTGGGGACTGAAAGGTCCCAGGTTCGATTCCGGTCAAGGGCATGTACCTTGATTGCGAGCACATCCCCAGTAGGGAGTGTACAGGGCTCAGCTGATCAATGATCATATTGTTTCTAATTTTCTCTCCTTCTCTCTTCCTCTCTGTAAAAAAATCAATAAAATATATTTTAAAAATAATAAAGAACCTTAAGGGCCTGAAGCTGAAAAGTAAAGAAAAAGTATTTTCAAAATGAGTCAGGTAACACTGGGTGACAGTCGCCTAATGACGCGTGCCCTTTGCCCTCCAAGACTCACTTCCCGAGACGCTGTCCACAGCTGTTCTGCTGACGCTGCCTCTTTAATTGCCCTCTGCCTGGCCCGCGTGACGCCGATAGGCATCAGGAGTCAGCCTATGTCCCCATGTTGGGGGCGGGGGGGTGACCTAGGGTTGTGCTGCCTGACTGGGGAAGTACAGGCACAGATAAGGGTGCTTTATTCCAGCAGATCCTTTCCTGTGGGCAGGGCTTCAAGCCCTTAGCAAATTTTGCTTTGGTTTTTACTTTTTAAACCTTATTGTTGTCAAACTATAGGCTTATACTTATATCATAAATAGTGGATTATAAGTAGTGTCATCTTGTGTACTTTACTGGCATTGATAGATTCGCTTATAGTTTTCCTGGACATAAGCAGCCTTGTTGAGGTTTAACTTCCGTGCCACACAGTTCACCCGTTTAAGTTGTGCAGTTCCAGGTCTTCGAACAGCGGTTGCCAGGCCGAAGCTCGGTCCATTGACCCAGGCAGCTAGGGCTGGACATGTGTTTTAGCTTCTCTAGTCCTGTTCCTCAGAATGGAGTTGCTGAGTCTGTGGTAATTCTCTGTTTAACTCTGAGGAACTGCCAGACTGTTTTCCTCAGTGGCTGCACCAGTTTGCATTCCTACCAGCGGTGTGTGAGCTCCCAATTTGTCCGTGTCCTCCCTACCCTGCCGTTTTGTTTTTAATTGTATCTAGTTCGAGTGACATGCATGTATCTTGTTTTGATTTGTCTTTTCCTAATGACGCTGAGAACCTTTTATTGTGCTCATTGGCTGTTCATGTATCTTTTTTGGGGGAAATGTTTGTATCTTTTGTCTGTTTTGATCGGTTTATTTTTTTATTGAGTTATAGGAGTTCTTCATATGTTCTGTATCCAGTTCCTTAATTATATAATTTGCAGATATTTTCACTTATTCTGTGTCTTCTCTTGATAGTATCCTTTTTTTGTTTGTTTTGCTGTATTTTTTGTTTCCTAAGATACCATTGAAAGCCACAAAGAATCACTCCATTTTAACTTGGAACTTGTAAAACTTCTAAGAGTTTTACAGTTCCAGCTCTGACATCTGGTCTTAGCTCCATTTTTAGTTAATTTTTTTTGGGGGGGTGCCGCTTCCTTCTTGCCTGTGAATGTTCCGTTGTCCGACATCACCTGCTGAAAAGAGTGCTTTTCCCCACGGAACCTCTCGGCACCTTGTTGAGTAGAAGTGTCCTCCTGGCCGAGTTGGCGTGCTGGAGCTTCCACCAGCCTGTTTGGTGGGTGTCTCCCCACATGATGGGCTGTTCTTAACTCTGAGATTGGGGGGACGGGCTGATGGATCGAACCCGGAGTGTAAGCTGCGTGTCTGCTCATGGTTCTGCAGGTTGTGGGGAGAAGGGCTGTCCTGGCCCCCAGGTATCTGAAAGGCAGTCTGCTCTCCTGGGTGCTGTGCTGGTCGCATGGCGCTCCGGTCAGACCTGGGAGGTGGCTTACCTTCAGGTCATGAAGAACCGTGTTGGGAAGACACATTGGCCCATGGGGTCGTCATTGCAGCAGCTGGGTGACGGCGGAGGAGATGCCGCCGTGTTCGGGAGAAACACCCACTCTGGGGTCCCGCTGCCTAGATAAGGATGGCGGTGGAGGGAACACACGTTTCCTCTGGACCTGAGTTAAAAAACAAAACACCAAAAAGCCCAACATTGAGAGCAGCCATGGTCTGTCTGCTGTTGCCCTCTGGGTCCTCAGTGGCCCTTTGTCCACCTTAAACTTGTTTGTGGGAGGTAGTGGAGTGCAGGGAGAACCACTGAAGTAACTTGAAACTTTTGACTTTTAAGATAAGAAAAAAAAGATTGCATTCTGTAGCAATATCCAAAATAGGTTGCTTACTCGTCTTCAGTTTTTAAGGAGCAGGCTTTTGTCTCATTTTAGTTTGTTTTTAAAGCAGCTTTCTCCTTTGCTGACTGGTCCCCTCTGAGCAGGAGCGCCAGCTGCCCATTTGTGTCCCTGTGTGTATCTGATCGTATTTAGGCCAAGAGGGAGGGTCCTTATGAACGGTATAAAGCTGATGTCGCCAACTGGTGGTCCGTGAGGTCTGAAAGGGGGTGAGGGCGCCTGCTGGAATAAAGGACCGTTTATGAACATTTGTTTCTGGTCATTCTTTTTTTAAAAAAATATATTTTATTGATTTTTTACAGAAAGGAAGGGAGAAAGATAGAGAGCTAGAAACGCCAATGAGAGAGAAACATCGACCAGCTGCCTCCTGCACACCCTCTACCGGATGTGCCCGCAACCAATGTACATGCCCTGGACCGGAATCAAACCTGGGGCCTTTCAGTCTACAGACCGACGCTCTATCCACTGAGCCAAACCGGTTTTGGCTGTTTCTGGTCATTCTTTTTTTTTTTTTTTTTTTTTTTTTTTTTTAATATATTTTATTGATTTTTGTACAGAGAGGAAGGGAGAGAGATAGTTAGAAACATCAATGAGAGAGAGTCATCGATCAGCTGCCTCTTGCACACCCCCCACTGGGGATATGCCCGCAACCAACGTACATGCCCTTGACCGGAATCGAACCCGGGTCCCTTCAGTCCCCAAGCCGACGCTCTATCCTAGGGGTGTCGAACTCAATCAGAGAAGGGGCCAAAATCTAAACTCCAGCCTAAATCGCGGGCCGAATGGTTTACTGAACAGTCATAAACTGTCATTGTGATGGAAACGCAGCGGAGTGTAGTGATGACAGCGTGGTGCAGCCCACATTGCAAGACCTGGCGGGACGGATTTGGCCCGCGGGCCTTGTGTTTGACACATGTGCTCTATCCATTGAGCCAAACCGGTCCTGGCTGTTTCTGCTCATTCTTAACATGTCTCAGAGCTTGGGTTTCTTTCAGGTGGGTGTGGAGGTGGGGTGATTCCGACCACAGCCCAGGTGCTTGCTTTGAGGCAAATTCCGGAGCGCCTTGCTTGAGCCATATGCCCAAGCAGAGCGATGTGGTCACCCCAGGGGCCCCTGTCCTCCTGGGGCCCCTTTTGCTGACCGGAAGTCGCCTGGTCCCTTCCTGACAGGGTCCCCCAAGAGGCATGCTGGGTTTTTGGAAGTGGTTCGGGGCCCTCTGGGAGTAGTTTACACTTGCTCGTGTTGGGCAGTCAGCTTTTATAAAGTGGCTGCTTTTGAGGAGTTATAAATCAGATGTAGTGGTATTGTGACCTTCAAGGGCAAGGTCCGTTCAGATCAGAAGCAAATAACTTACCCACCTTCTCCCTCCCGCAATCCCAGGTTCCTCCTGTTCTTCTGGAAGGGTCGGGCGGGACGGGGCTTGGCGGTCAGAAAGCATGAGCTTGGAGCCTGGCTCTGCTCTTCATGACCCAGGGACCTTGGGGGGAACTTGAGCTGAACTCAGAAAGCGGAGCTGTGAGACAGACGGGGAGTGTGTGGGGTTTGCCAACAGCCCTGACATGTCAGGTGCTGACCAGGGTGCATGGGCGGTAGGCATTTGTGTAAGTGCTTTCCTTCCGAACCTCTGGGCCGCGGTTTCTGTCCCGCATCAGAGGTTCCTGCCCAGCCCCTGCGTCCTTCACACTTTTCCACTCTCTGCCTCCCCTCCTCCCCACCCCGCGTGTGGGATGCGCCTGGGACAGAGTGAGTCCCGTGGGTTGGCGTTGTCTGGGCCTCTCAAGCACCCAGTGCTTTCTCTGTGATGTTAATACTTTTTCTTCTGCTCAAATATAAATTATTTGAGCATTATTTCCCCTAATTTTCTATAGTCTCCAGAATATAGTGAATCTAATAGGTACTCCGTAGTTTTCTGAGTAAAGGAGAAAATGTTTCTCATTTTGAGTTCATCCAAATCTAACCAGCAATCAGTCCATCCTTGTCTTTTCTAGAATGTTTTCTGCAGTGTGCACACTTACAGATTAGAGACGTTACATGTTTGTTATGTGATAGTTTGTATCCCAGAAGTGAAACGGCAGATTGTGAGTGAAGGCCTGGCCCTGAGGCTGGGGTGGGTCGCTCTCACGCTCTGTTGTGCTTTCTGGACTGGAGCAGGTGCCCTCCACTGTGTGCTTGAACTCTCTCCTCCCCCAGGAGCTTCACTTGCTAACATGCTCTTTCCGGTTTTCCTTTTGTGCAGGCAGTGGTGAGAAACTTCACACCAAGGATGTTTCACTTAAGGACTTGTGCCACTAAGTTGCGGCCCTTGACGGCCTCACAGACTGTTAAGACATTTTCCCAGAACAGACCAGCAGCCGCTCGGACGTTTGGGCAGATCCGGTGCTACACTGCCCCCATGGCTGCAGAGCCCTTCCTGAGCGGGACTAGCTCCAACTACGTGGAGGAGATGTACTATGCCTGGCTGGAGAACCCCAAGAGCGTCCACAAGGTAAGGCTCGCAGGAGCGGGTCTTGTGTGTTTGGAGCCGACTGTGGCTGGCCACCCAGGTAAGTGTCCCGAGGAGCCCTCGGGCAGGAAGGCAGGCAGCAGCCAGGAGCCCCAGCGGCCCGACAGGAACCGGGAGGGGCGGCTCCCTCACCACGTGCCTCACTCTTTGGAATAGACCGCACTCGCCCGCAAGGACCTCCACAGGATGCACTGGCACCACTTGCGGAGCCTCGCAGGGATGCTGCGGAAGAGAAGCCAGCCAGAAGGGGTGCAGCAGAGGGATGCCCGCAGGACGCGCCTCGCCCGGGTCCCGAGGACACCTTGAATCGTCTCCTGTGATTTCTGTGCCGTTCAGATCCTTATGCTCATGGTTTCCTCCTGTCCCGGGAAGTAAATCCGGGAAGGCTTCCTTCGGACCCCTGTGCCACCTGTAGGGCACGTTCTCCTTAGTGCTTCTCCTCACCATTTGCTGGTACGGGGCACACTTAGTGGCAGAATTGCTTTTTTTCTTTCCTTTGTTTTATATACGTGTGTAATTGATTTCAGAGAGGAAGGGGGAGGGAGGGAGAGTTAGAAACATCAATGATGAGAATCATCCATCGCCACCTCTTGCACACCCCACACTGGGGATTGAGCCCACGGCTCAGGCCTGTGCCCTGACCACAATTCAACTGACTGCCTTGTTCATAGGTCAACGCTCAACCACTGAGCCACACCGGGCAGAGCAGAATTTCCTAACAGCATTGGGCCAGTGGGAGTTTGTGTGTTTTAATGACCATTTCATGGTTTTCAGTCAGGCAGTGGCCAGTGCAGGAGCTGGAGGGCAGGTTGCCAGGCGCCCAGGCCTGGGGGCAGGTGTGGGGATGTGTTCTGTGCAGGCTGGCGTCATCACTCTTCGTTGTTGTTGCTGTCAATCCTCACCCAAGGATTATTTTCCATTGATTTTTTAAAAATATTTTTTTATTGATTTCAGAGAAGAAGGGAGGGAGGGAGGGAGGGAGAGAGAGAGAGACAGAGAGAGAGACAGAGAGAGAGAGAGAGAGAAACATCAACAATGAGAGAGAATCATTGATTGGCTGCCTCCTGCACGCCCCCTACTGGGGATCAAGCCTGCAACTCAGGCATGTGCCCTGACTGGAATTTAACCCAGCAGCCTCTAATTTGCAGGCCGATGCTCTATCAACCAAGTCATACCAGCTAGGGCTTTCCATTGATTTTAGAGAAAGTGAAAGGGAGGGTGAGAAACAGAGAAACACTGATGTAAGAGAGACACCTCATTGGTTGCCTCCTTTATGTGCCCCAACAGGTGCTGGGGGTCAAGTCTGCAACCGAGAGACATGCCTTGACCAGAATTAAACCCGAAAACTTTCAGTCCATGGGCCAACGCTCTAACCACTGAGCAGCTGGCCAGGGTGTGATGTCATCACTCCTGATTGCTCTTTTCCTTCCTTGTGAATCTTGGGCCCCTAGAGTAAGCTCTGTGTTAGTGACATTCACGACTGGATTATTCCTGTGACTGCGGGAGCCACCAGCTCTGTCACACTAGAAGTGCTGCCTCTTAGAACCTCACAGCATTTAGCGGGCCTTCCTGTTTCCAGGGCCACCGGAGCCGGTGGGGCCTGGTTCCCGGGAGGCGCTCTGGGCCTTGTCCAAGCTGGACAGGTGGGCTAGAAGGAAGTGCTGAGGAGATGACCTGCTGGGGGTTGAAGCCAGGTCTCTAAGGACAGTTGTGAGCTTGTCTCTTGAGTAAATCAGCCAGGCTGTCACCTTGTGCTCAGGCCTCTCCCTGCCTTCCCTTTCCAGAGTATGACCCCTTGTGGAGCCACCCAGGCCTCTTAGATTAGCGTCAAATGCACGTGAGTCTCGCCCGTGACAAAGGGGTGCCACCGTAGTCCTTCCTCAGAGTGATGGGCTCCACCTTTGTCTCGGGCAGAAGCCAGGGTGTGTCTTGCACTCTCAGCAGGTCCATAGGGCAGAGCTGAGGCGGCTTTTCTTGCTGACCTTGGAGTTGGCGGATGCTTTGCTTGCACACCTGGAGAGGAGAGAGTGAAACTGTTTGGAGATGTTCTTTCGTGAGCTACCTGGCTTAAAAACAGCAGCATTGCTCTGATGGAGCACAAAGCCACTTGGCTTCCGTAACTGAGGAATACTCCAACAGCACCCTCCATCGTAACTGTTTTCATGGTAGCAAGTCAGGCAGACCCCGACCCCAGTGCCTCCCAGCAGAGTGGGGGTGCTTGGACAGGCTTGGGCGCAGCCCTGCTGTCCTCCACTGGGGGTCGCTGAGCCAGGCCGTAAGGTGGGCGGTCTGAAGGCCAGCACTGTCCTGCGCGCTGTTCTTCCACCCGCTTAGCTCCAAAGCAGGTTCTGTGGGGGTGGGCCATGGACCATCACTCCCACATGTGGGCGTCCTGTACAGACAGCCAGTCACCCATGTTTTCAGGAAGGATGCAGGCCCGGCATTGGCGCAGAGAGGACAGGACGCAGGAGGAGGGTTTAGAGGCCGCCCGGAGCAGCCTCTTCCTGCGCGGCAGAGCTGTGAACGGGCCATGTGCACGGCACCTGGTGCTGGGACAGTGCCGGGTTTTCCGCATGTTGTGACCGGGAGAGCCCCTGCAGGGGGCGGGGAGACAGGCTCCTGCCGGCCAGCGAGTCCCTGCCTCCATTGGGCTAATGGGCCAAACCCTTGTTTCAAGATGGCCCTGCACCTGTGCTCCGAGATGGCTTGTTGCCCTGCGATGCTTGTCAGTATCCGTTGGAAAGCTCTGTTAGTGCCCTGGCCATTTTGGCTCAGTGTTTGGAGTGCTGGCCCACGGACTAAAGGGTCCCGGGTCCAATTCCAGTCAAGTTGTGGCATGACCCCTGGCCCTGGTTGGGGCACATGCAGGAGACAGCCAATCCGATGTGTCTCTCTCACATCTGTTTTTCTCTCCCCCTTCCTTCTACTCGCTCTAAAAATCAATGAGAAAATATCCTTGGGTGAGGATTAACTAAGAAATTAAAAAGCTCTCTCAGTACCAGAACTTACCATGGTTGCCTGTGTCATGCTCGAGCCTGAAACGGATCAGCCATTAGTTTATCACTGTGCCATGGCCTTTGAACCTGGGGTTCGATCCGTTCCAGGGTGTCCATAGGTGATTGGGGTGTGTTTGTGGGCGGTGAGTGCGTTCCCATCTAAGGTAAAGACAGCAGGTGTGGCATTGGACAGGAAGAAATGGCTCAGGCAGTCCAGAACCCAGAGTCCTGGGCTTTGGTGGCTGAAATGAGCATTTGTCACCCAGGGTCATGTTCTAATCACCTTCTTGTCCCTCAGGGGGCTGTGCAGGTAGAGGCTGTCCATGTGTCCATGCTCTCACTGTCCTAGGTGAAGAGAGCCCAGTGACTTCCCTGGCTGTGCCCGGTCTGCAGGGAGGGAGCAGGGACTAGGCCCCGTGCCTGGGCAGGCTGGCCTGTGGTGGCTCCGTCGTGCACGCGGCGTCCTGTGAGCCGCGCACTCGTGCTGGCCGCCTTGGGCCTTTGAGACACATGAGGGACACCAGGTGGCGCGGTTGCCACTCTCCAGCCCTGAAGCCCCAGGGACCCAGCTCTGGTGTTGCTCACCGCCGGGAGCTTGGTGCTGAGACAAAGTCTGTTTGCCTCACTGAACCACTCAGCCTACGTCCCTGGTGAGTGTCAGCACCTCTCTGAGGTGGGGTAGAGCCTTGAACGCTGGGCGTCCCAGGTTCATAGCTGACACCATTCATAGTACTGCACCAGACACCCCCTGGCATCCTGACACCCCACCTGACCGACTGCCCCGCCCCCCATCAGTTTGCGCCCGGTGAGGGAGTCAGCCTGTGGATTAGCTCGGCGGGTGTGTTGGGCACATCCTGTGCATTGGACCAGCTTCCGCAGGACAGAGCCGAGGAAGAGGGATGCTGTGGCTGCAGGGGGAGCAGAGGCGGGGCATGGCCTTCCGGGACGTCACTTAAATGCCGTAGTTCCATAAGAGGAAGCAATTCTGGTTTCGTTTCAGCTAGAATGTTACCCTTGGTTTGTTTTTTGTTTGTTTGTTTTTTAATATATTTTTTATTGATTTTGTACAGAGAGGAAGGGAGAGAGATAGTCAGAAACATCGATGAGAGAGAGTCATCGATCAGCTGTCTCTTGCACACTCCCTACTGGGGATATGCCCACAACCAAGGTACATGCCCTTGACCAGAATCGAACCCAGGACCCTTCAGTCCCCAAGCCGACGCTCTATCCATTGAGCCAAACTGGTTTTGGCCAGAATGTTACCCTTGTTTACACTTGAAAACTTATGTTTTAGTTTAAGTCATTTTGGCAACAAGCTGAGGCCTTAAACCCACTCATGGGAGGTGGTCCAGGCCTACCCCTCTGCGGACGGGCTGTCTCCCTCCTGCCCACGCACTGCCCTGCCTGGCCCTGGTCCCAGCCTCGCCTCCTTCCGTCTGCCAGTGCTGCCACCTGGCCTCCCTGGGGCCTGCGACCACCCCTCCTTGGCTTCTCACAGCCAGCTCCCTCATGCGCTGTCCTTCCTGGCACCTGCTCTGAGGACGCTGTCTGGCTGCTCCCGAGAGGGAGAAGCCCATCAGCACATCGCAGACGCCTGCCCTCTGCCCTCTCGCCGCGGAGGCAGCCTCGGGCTGTGGAGAGCCACCTCTAACCGTGCTCACCTCGGAGACGCGTCCGGTGCGAGCACGTCGCTTCAGCCTATGGCCCTGTGCGTGGAACCGCTGGCTTTCGCGGGCAGTGCCTTCCCTCCCCTCCCCGGTGGGCAGAGAACTGAGTGTCTGCATCTGGCTGTTGGTCCGTCCAGGCCTGGAGGGGACGGCTTCCTGAGGGAGTTGTGGAACAGGCAGACACAGCTGGGGACTAGACTCAGCGCGGCCGAGGAGCAGCTAAGTCTGCCTCCCGCACTGACGGAGGAGCAGTGCCCTGCCATGTGGGACGCAGGCCCAGCCCTGGCCTTGATTTTTGACCATTTTAAGTTGCAGTGCACAGGTTTTGCAAGTGCATGCAGACAAAATCCAAATGTCAGGTCGTGGAGGGAGAAGGCTTTGCTGTTGAGGTTGTCTCCTGGTCTGAGGGCTGAGGCATTCGTGTGTGCGCTGGGGGTGAGTGAGGGGACGTGGAAGTGCGTCCCGGTGCGCTCCCCTGTGGGCCAGCACGGCAGCCCCTGTGCCACTGTCTGCCAGTCAGAAGGTTCCAGAGGGGATATCTATGGTGGCGCCTGCCCCTCCCAGGGCTGGGCTGCCCAAGCTTCCGGAAGTTGGAAATGTTTGGGGTGTCCAGTGCGTCAGTTTTGTGTGTCCTTGTAATGCACCTAGGAGGGCCAGGCCTGAGCTCTCCCTGCCTGGGCAGTGGACACTAGGCGGCCTCTCCTTTCCCACAGGAGCAAGTCGGTTCTATCTCTGGTGGACGCAGGGCCTCTCGCCCGCAGTGGAGCCGGCTCAGGGAGGGGGAGGGACAGCTTGATGGCAGGTTGGGAGAATGGTACTGGATTCCGACTCCTGCCCAAGAGGGCCAAGGCAGGGCGTGTGCGGTGCTTACAGCTGGCGTGTGGCTGGTGCCAGGTGAGGACCCTGCAGGTCTCGCCCATCAGCCGACACACTGCCTGTCAACCAGACCAGGGAACACAGGGAGAGCTCTAACAGTGAGGTTTGTTAAAGCATTTAACAATTGCTATTAATGTATTAATTCACAATTTTTAAGGTAAAAGCTCGGTGTTCTGTATACTCCCCATGTTGTGCAGTATCACCCAGTAGTTTGATTTTACATGTTACTGAATGCAAGAGGAATAAACTTGGATGTTCTGAAAACTCCCCTGGAGGTCCAGCACCAGGCCCTGCTTGCCACAGTGGGTTTCTGGTGGGATTGGTGGTGCAGGCAGTGTCTTGGGACCGGCTGCCTGCGGACCCCTCACTGGCGGCAAGCGCAGGCCTGCTGGCCTTTCTCTCCAGGTTCTCCCAGGCATCTAATCTGTTTACTGACGAAGAACCTTAGAAACTGGACATGTCTGACAGGGAAGAAAGACAGTGTTTACCAGGTGTACCAGTTAGGTTTTTTTTCAATTCATGGAGTTATACATTACATTGATAGATATGCAATTTGATATGTATGCTATTTTGTTGTATTGGCAGCAGGCTTCAAAATTTCCTGTGTCAAATTTTCTGAAGGTGTTACCATTAGATATTTTTACACTTAAAAATGTCGAATTTTGTGCCAAAACAAGAGCATTTGCAGGAAGTTTGAGTTCATTATTTTGTGGAAAAGTGCTGCTGAGCACTAAAGGCAGAGCATTGTCTTCATGTGTCACTATGCCCCGGGGGAGGCTGAGCTGGGACTGGTGGGAAGCTGACCCCGTGGCTACTCCTGGAGCTGGGGGAGAGTCTACTGCCCCTAAACCGTGTGGGCCGGGCCGAGAGGGGTCAGGGGTAGTTCCTCAAGGAACCGAAGTGCCAACAGCGAAAGTCAGAGTGGAAAGAGCAGAGGCGCCTCGAGCAGTGGGCTGGCCGTGGGGTTAGCTTCCGCCTGAAGGGCAAGGAGAGACCACCGGCAGCCCCTTCCGGCCTCAGCACCCAACACCCCCTGTCAGGTCTCTGAGAGCCAAGAACCCAGCCAGTGGCTTGGGGCGGGGGCATCCTCTGAGCCACCTCCACCCAGCAAACAGCCCCTATCCCTGGTGCCCGCGCGGCGTCCAGGGTTTGGGGGCAGGGGAGACAAATGGGCACAGACCTCAAGGTCAGCTGGGCACCGCTGGGCCATGAAGGAGAGTCGGCTTTCCTGCTTTCCTGACCAATGCAGCATCCAAAACCGACATAAATTATTCACCGTGAGGAAAAAAGCACAATTAGGCATTGCTTGTGGTGAATATGCTCTATCTCAAGGTACTTGTGAAGATTGGTTTAAATGCTTTCAAAATGATGATTTCGATGTGAAAGACAACCGAAAAAGTTTGAAGACCAACAATTACAAGCATTATTGGATGAAGATGGGTGTCAAACTCAAAAACAACTTGCAGAAAGATTAAACATTGCTCAGCAAACAATTTCTGATCATTTACAAGCAATGGGATAGATTTTAAAGGAAGGAAAATGGGTGTCACATCAACTGAACAAAAGACAAATGGAAAACCGAAAAGTAACCAGTAAAATGTTGCTTCAGTGGCATGAAAGAAAGTTTTTTTGCACCAAATTGTGACTGGTGATGAAAAGTGGGTTTATTTTGAGAATCCCAAATGCACAAAATCATGAGTTGATCCAGGTCAACCATCAACATCGACTGCAAGGCCGGATCAGTGCTCTGCGTTTAGTGGGATCAGGAAGGTGTGTATTATGAGCTTCTAAAACCAGGTGAAACCGTTAATACTGATCGCTACTGACAACAAATAATCAATTTGAACCACACTTTGATCGTAAAATGACCAGAATGGGCCAAAAGACACGGTAAAGTAATTTTGCTTCATGATAGTGCACCATCACACACTTCAGAACCAATTCATACTTGCCTGGGAAGTATGAACCCACCCGCCATATTCACCAGACCTTGCTCCTTCAGATGACCACTTATTGCGATTGATGGCACTTTCTGAGCAGCACTTCAAAACGTACCAAGTGGAAAATTGGGTCTCTGAATGGTTTGCCTCAAAACAAGAAAAGTTCTATTGGGACGGTGTCCACACATTACCTGAAAGATGGGGAAATGTGTAGCTATCAATGGACATTACTTTGAATAAAGCAATTTTGTTCTTTCTCTTGAAATTGTGTGTTTTTTACGAAATCTGCCATTAACGGGTACACCTGGTACATGTCTAAACCTTCCTGGTGGTTAGTATACGGGCGGTTTTTTGCAGTGGAATTAAGTGTTGGTTTCTCTGATCTCTGAAATATTTTAAGGCTCAACATCTTTGTATGAGATGAATAACCTATTAAGAGTCCACAGTATTTATGTGAATTAGAAATTGAATCATTTAAACGTAAAATAGCCAAAAATAGTAAGGAGAGAGATAATGAGTGAGTTTGATTAACACAGACGAAGTGGAAACTGAGAGGAACCCCAGTTAGTTCCTACCGCACGCAGGAGTGTGCTGGCTGCTGGCTCCGCAGTGCTGTCTTCACCGCAGACCTGTGCACACAGATGTCTGTCCCTCCACACTGAGCCCTGCGCCCCGGTGCCAGGTGCCTGGCAGGATCTCAGGGCTCAGACTAAGGCCTTTGAGCCCTGAGCCCCTGAAGGGCCCTCCTGAAGCACAGACGACATGGTTTCTCTAGGGCCAGCCTCAGGCCACCCTTTGCACAAGGGCCACTGTATCGGGTCTAGTAATAATTAATGTCGTTTTTAAACATTCGTTTAAAATCTTGCTTGGCGTTGACTTGTATTGACATAACCTTCAAACACGTGGTATCTACAGAAGGTGTGAAGTGCAATTAACAAGTTTTGCTTGAAAAAGTTTGTGTTTGGTTTGGTTTTTGTTGCAAAACTAGGGCTAAGAAGACGGCGGATGAAGAGCATATTCAGCACTGCATGCTTTACGAGTTCCAATTAGGAAGAAAAGCAAGTGAGGCTGCAAAAAACATCTGTAGTGCTCTTGGTCAAGATGCAGTTAGCGCCAGAAAATGCCAGCGTTGGTTTGAGAAATTTCGCGAGGGAAATTTTTCGTTAGATGACAAGAGTGGTCGAGGCCGTGTATCCAATTTTGATCAAGAAGCTCTTCAAGCTCTTTTGGTGCAAAATCCTCAAATTACCCAGCAAGAGCTTGCGACAACTTTAAATTGTTCACAAAAAACAATTTCCAATCAATTGCGTGCACTTGGCAAAGTCCAAAAGTTTGGAAAATGGGTTCCTCATGAGTTGACCTACAACAACCGTAATCAAAGAGTCACAATTTGCAGTTCGCTCCTCTCTCGTCAAAACCGTTTGCCGTTTTTAGAGCAAATTGTTACCGGAGATGAAAAATGGGTGCTGTATGTTAATTTGAAAAGGCGGCCTCAATGGTTGGACAAAAATGAGGCTCCGCAGCCCACGCCAAAACCTGACTTGCATGCGAAAAAAGTGATGTTGTGTGTTTGGTGGAATTTTAAAGGAATTCTTCATTATGAACTTTTACCATCTAACCAAACCATTACAAGTGCAGTGTATAGTGCCCAATTGGAAAGGTTAGCCCAAGCTTTAAGAGAAAAAGAACCCGCGCTGATTAATCGGAAGGGCGTAATTCTTCACCACGATAACGCACGACCGCATACTGCAAGAATCACTGCTGAAAAACTGCGCCAGTTGGAATGGGAAGTTCTCCCTCAACCTGCATATTCTCCTGATATTGCCCCTTCCGATTACCATTTGTTTCGTTCTTTGCAAAACTTTCTTGGAAAAAAGTTTAATAATGAAGAATGCCTCAAAAATGCATTGACCGAATTTTTTGCATCAAAATCACAAGAATTTTACAACAGAGGGATTAAAATGCTTCCTGAGCGTTGGGCACAAGTAGTAGAAAACAACGGCAACTATATTGTTGATTAAATTTTGTTGTATTGTTTAAATAAATTCGATTTAAAAAAGTATTAGAAAACGACATTAATTATTACTAGACCTAATATTTTGTGTGTGTGGGGCGGTGAGGTGACAAGGGAGGCCTGAGCCCTGGAGGCTGTGTTGAAGGACAGGAGGTCGGGGACAGACAGGCAGGAAGGGCAGCCAGAGGGCATCTGCCCCATTGATGTGGGGCATCCTGAGGGTCAGGGGAGCTGCTGCTCAGAGCAGGAGGTCATTGCCCGGCAGGATGTGGCTGCCTGCCAAGAACAGTTCTTTCTTTGGCTGGAAATGAGGGTGAGGCCCCCAGTGGAGTGACACGTGTGTTCCTTCTCTCTTTAGTCATGGGACATTTTTTTCCGAAACACCAATGCCGGGGCGGCCCCAGGCACTGCCTACCAGAGCCCACTGGCCCTGAGCATGGGCGCCCTGTCTGCCGTGGCCCGAGCACAGCCCCTGGCGGGCACCCAGACCAACGTGGACAAGCTGGTGGAGGACCACTTGGCAGTGCAGTCTCTCATCAGGGCCTACCAGGTAAGGTGCGCCTGCCAGCACAGCCTGTCCCGGCCCTGGGGTCCAGGGATACAGAAATGCAAAAGGTGAGGAGAGGAGCCGGGACAGTTTCACCTGCGGAGCAGAGCCTCTGCCATCTTCAGTGCAGCCCTGGAAGCAGCTCCTCGCTTGTTCCCATAGGTTGGCAGAAAGATCTGTGGGCAGGGAAACGGGGCCGGGCGCAGGAAGTGCTGGTGACCAGGAGCACTGTGCCATCCCGTGTCAGCTGCTAGCACCCACACACAGGAGGAGGTGCACCTGTAGGGTGGGGGACTGGGCGTGCCCAGGAAGCAGGGACAGGCAGGTGGGCGCTCAGCTGCACAGTCAGCCCCTGGAAGGGACCTGGTGTCAGGCTTTCCCAAGTTAGCTGCCCGGCACCTGCAGTCCTGGACACCTGCTCTGGGAGCCGTCCTGGGGAGCAGAAGTCTCCGGCAACCCAGACACTCCTGCAGGCGGGGCATCGGCGTACTCTGCCCCCGGTGTCAGGACAGGTGCTGGGGAAGGTGGCAAGCGGGGCACTGTCTGAGGAGGGGGAGCTGCAGGGACCTGCGGGAGGCGGCGTGCACTCGGCCTCAGCACCTGGGCTGCCCGTGGGGGCTGTCCTCCACCCTGTCAGTGCCAGGGGAGGATGTGGGTGACGGGCCCATTGCTTCAGGGAACAGACTTAGAGTTTCTGCCCTGCTTTAGGCAGTTGGGTCCGAGGGGACCGTCCGTGTAGCCGTCTCTGTCTGACTCGGTGCCTGACCTCCAGCAGGCACTGACGGCCTGGGTCCAGCTTGTACCGCCTGCCCAGTGCTGCAGCCCTGCTTCCTCGGAGGCCTTTTGCTGGTCAGCGCTGAGGTGGAGTCACATTGGGGTGATATCCCCAGAGCCCGTCTCCATTTGTCCAGGGAAGCAGGGCCCCAGGAAGCGGTCCTTGACAACTCCCACATTTCTCCTGCCCAGGAGTGTACCCTTCATAGATGCGCCTCGGTGCACAGCCTGCTGTCCCGAGGCCGTTAGAACTAGTCGGGTTCATAGCTCTCGGGAGGTTTGACCACGTGTGACTTTTACCCCACCGCCCGGGTCCTGCTTAACCACTGCTTGTGTTATTACTTCCAGGTCAGGGGTCACCACATTGCAAAACTTGATCCTCTCGGAATTAGTTGTGTAAATTTTGATGATGCTCCAGTAACTGTTTCTTCAAACGTGGGTGAGGATTGATCTGTAAATGCTAATTTTAATGTAATTTTACTTTTTTTACCCCTTCCCTCTTTTTTTTCTCCTGTCCTTTTGTGTGTGTCCCTCCCTCCCCGTCACTGGCCCTTCCATAGATACGAGGGCACCATGTAGCACAGCTGGACCCCCTGGGAATTTTGGATGCCGATCTGGACTCCTCCGTGCCCGCTGACATTATCTCATCCACAGACAAACTTGGTGAGGGCCTGAGAGTGGCCGGTGCTGCTGCTTAGCTCCCGGTGCTGGCCCGGGAGGCCAGACGCCCAGACGGGAGGGAAGACTCTTAAGTTTCCTTCGTTCTGATCACTTGACATTACGGTCACACAGCCTTAGAGCTGGGCATCTCGAGTTCACCCCAGCTTCTCAGTCAGACGGTATGAGCTCCGTTGTCTGAGTCTCAAGTTAGAAAGTGAAATTGGGGGCAGAAAGGGTTTGCGATGCAGGGGAAAGGTGGCCGCCTGTGCAGGCCCCTCAGGAGGTGCTCAGACGCGCTCTGGCGCCTGGCAGGCCCGGTGCGGGCCGCCGTGCGGGACAAGGCCTACGCAGCCGCCTGTCACCTCACGCTGTCCCGGGGCACGCGGGCCTGCCTCTGCCGGGCGAGACTCTAAACAGGCTCTGCCCCGGGGTCTCGATTCTTAAGGCCGGTGATCACACAGGAAACTTCGGAAGGCGCCCGGTGCCGCGCAGGGCGTGGCTGGCCTCCCACCGCAGTTGCTTCTTCGAGTTAATCTGCGCTCCGGCTCCGTGCTGCTAACCTGCTACAGAAATTACGGTGTGACTAATTCTGAGATGGTGGTGTCACGGAACACTGTGCATGCTAATGAGACTGACAATTACATTGCCTGCTGCTCCCGCTAGGGGACCCAACACTCCTGAGGAGGGTGGCGGTGTTGCCGGGTCAGGCAGGTGCAGGCCGCAGGGCCCTCCTGCTCTGGCCTGGCTCTGGAGGAGGGAACCGTCCTGAGCGTGCGACGGGCAGGGCAGGTAGAGGCCCGTGTGGAGTCTGCTTTTTTGGGGTGACAACTCTGTGCTTCCAGAGTGGGCTTCTCTGGGTGTCCGCAGGACAGGGAGCCCCTCTCTTCCCCTCAGCACGAAGCCCTGCAGCTCCCGGGCCTGACGCCTCCGTGGTGAGCTCTCCCAAGAGAGGGCCTGCGTGTCCCGGCAGAGCCTTCAGCAGAGCAGGGCTTCCCTGGGTGCCCATTTCTTGCATCCAAACAGACCTCCTCAGTGGTTCCCAGCTCATTGGAGCTGCCTGGGGCCTGGAGCACTCCTCTGTCCCTCTGGACACTGGGCAGGTGGGAGGGAGCCACAGCCGCCAGGCACTGGAGGAGCCTGGGACGGAGAGGCTGGGCCTGGGCCCTGCAGCTCCTGGGCACAGCCGAGGCGGCACAGGCAGCGGCTCTTCCAGGCCATAGGCCTTGCTTTCCGTCCGCTCGGGAGCAGGGTCCCTGGCGGCATCTCACACGGAGGGTGACTGGAAACCAGGGGCACAGGCCCCATAGAGTCTCAGCTATTGGAGGAGAGACGCTGCCTCTCCTGGCCGAGCACCCTCAGGACCACCCAGTCGGGGAGGCCCCTTTGTGAGAGGAATTTGATGTGTCTTTTTTAGCTACAAAAATGGGAAGTAGCATAAACCCAGTACATAAATGTGAGCCTGGGGGAAGTCCGTCTCCAGTTGGCACCGTTGGTGTGTGTAGGTCAGGAAGACGGTGTCTCCCGCCCTCAGGCCTGGCTGCTGGGTGCCGTAAGCTGTCAGTTTGTTTCAGGATTAGCTGAGCTCAGACCGCCAGGCCTGGCTCCCGAGGCCGTGACCAGTGTGGTTCGCACAGTCCGAGCTGCCGGCGACTGGTGGAGGCAGGTTCAGAAGCTGAGTGATGGGGCCAGGCCTGGGCTCCCAGGTGACGGGGCAATGTCGCTGCAGGAGTGTGGGTCTGGGGGGGGGGGGGGGGGGCAGCAGCTGGTGTCCTCGGTCGCCTCTCGGGGCTCCTCATCCTCCGAAAGCTGAGGCTCAGGGGACACATACCCACGTTGCAGAGCGCAGTCACGTGGTGGTGAAGGCAGCGAGCGGAGCCCTGTCCGCACAGAATTTCTTAAACCGATGGTGACTTCGCCTGGTGCCCGACCTTCCCTGACCGGCGTGGAGGAGGCTGGGAAATGCTGGCCCAGTTCTCTGGCCTCGAGGGTGGTGCTGGGCGGTCGCACCTCCTGGGCTCCCGGGAGGGACATCGGGCCTCGGCTGGCAGCACGGCCCGTGGACACCTCAGTGGACAGAGCAGGTGCCGTGGCGGTGGGGCTGGCGCCATCCTCAGGCCGACGTGGTGAGGGTTAGACGCTTCTCTGAGGCAGGAGCTGGGTTCTGTCGTTGAGCAGACGCTCCTGGGCACGGGCCTTCTCTGCGGTGCATGTTTGGGGGCAGCTTCTAGGTGCAGGTCGTTGCGTCCACCCCTCCCGAGGTGGGCCCTGGGGTCCTCGCAGAGCAGAGCTGGAAGCAGTTCTCTCCACAAGAAGGGACACACCAGCCTCTGCACAGGGTTGGTCTTGGGAAGTGACCTTGAATTAAACAGTTAAAAATGCAGTTTAAATAAAAATCCAAAATTGTGACATCTTAGCTGCTTAACTGAGTTACCCCACCCCCAAGACTTTTCCTTGCAGGCTGGGAGAAGGGGCTTAAACCAGCTGATTTCTCACCCTAGCTGGTGTGGTTCAGTGGATAGAGCGTTGGTCTGTGGACCAAAGAGTCCCGGGTTCAATTTCGGTCAAGGGCATCTGCCTTGGTTGCAGGCTCCTCCCCAGCCTAGGCCCTGGTTGGGGCACAGGCAGGAAGCAACCAATTGATGTGTTTCTCTCACATCGATATTTCTTTCTCTCTCTTTTCCATTCTCTCTCTCAAAATCAGTGGAAAGGATCCTCAGGTGAGGATTTTTACAAAGTTGATTTTTCATCAGCTTTCACAGTCTGAGAGCAGTAGAGAGGAGTTCCTCTCACCTACCTGCTGGCTGCTGTGAGTGAGCAGGTGGGCGGCTGACCACATCCCCGCAGGCTGTCCTCCCTCCTGGATGCCCTCGCCTACCCACCATTCTCAGCCCCAGCCCTCCTTCCAAGCAGGGCCTTCCGCATTCGGCAAGAAGTCATTCTCCCCCGTGTGTGCTGGTGTGGGGACCCTGAGCCCTCATACATGACAACCAGTTTCTCCTCTCACTCTCTGGTTCGTATTGTTTGTTGGTGTTTAGTTTTAAAAGCTGAGAAGGGCAGAAGTCCCCTCTCGTTTGCAGGCTGCTTGCTAAGCCCCAGTGGTGAGCCCTGTGTCCTGGTTTCTCGTACACACACACCTGTGACAGCACGATTTGTGGACTGGGCACTGTGAGGAGCAGGTGCGAGCTGAGCCATGTGGCCGCGTGCTGGCAGAGAGTCGGGAGGATGGCCTCTCGGGGACCGTGTGGGCTGCTGAGTGACGGGCGTGCACTGTGGACAGAAGAGGGGTTCCCTTCCCAGGCGACAGAGCAGGGCGGCTCGAGATGCCATCATGCCGCTGAGAACACGGGCAATTACAAACACGAACTGCTTGTTTCTGGAATTTTCCGTTTAATAGTTTTGGGGGTGGTTGACCGCAGAGGGCTAACCCACAGATGGGGACTCCTGCACAAGTGAACATAGAAGCACCCCTCCCCCAGCGTGAGAAGATGGTGCGTGTGCCGGCGGCCGTGGAGGCCGTGTCCTGAGGACGGAGGGGGCGGGGCACCGGCCTCCGCAGGCCCCACGTTCGCGCAGCCACTGGCTCCGAGCTCTGGTGGGTGCCGTCGCACCCCTCCGTCAGCTCTGAGAGCGTCCGGCTTTCCCAGGGCAGGGCGTGGCTGAGGGTGGTGGCCGCTCTGACCGCTGAGCCACCTCCCTATGAATCCTGTCACTGGGCCTCCTGACCCCGCCCCAGGCCCCCGCGTCCAGGTGCTGGTGGAGGTTGAGACCGGAGAGCTGTCCCCGGTGGACGGGCGCCGCAGAGCACATGGCTGATTGCCATGGGGACAGGATGGCGCCTTCCACTCTGGAAGCTGCCGGAATCTTAAGGGCTCAGGTCTCGTCGCCCGCCTGAAGCTCCAGGTCTGAGGAGTGAGAATCTCATCTTCTCCTTCACTTCTCCCCAAGTGTCCAGATCGGGTGGTTCCTTCCGGAGCCACGCAGGGCCACTTCGGTGGGAGGGGGCGGGTCTCAGGTGCCGCCCAGCGGTCTCCCGCTCACTCAGGCCAGCTGCTGACCACAGGAGCCCCGCCCTTGTCCCCCCCTGTCCTCCTCTGTCTGTGTCTCTCCCTGTCTGTGCTTCCCGTGCTGCCTGGGGGGGGGCCTTCTGCACTAACTCTCGCCTCTTTTTCCTCCGCGCTCCCCGCCCTGCCTCAGGCCTGGCCGGTTTCCAGGAGCGGCTGCGAGTGCTCACAGTGGGAGGTATGGAAACACGCCTTCTTCCTGGAGCTGGGCGCCTGGGCAGGATCTTCTCCCAGCATGCCCTTGGGGAAGCCCACACTGTCCTGTTCAGAGGTGGCCACTGGTTTGGAAATGTGACCAACAGGCAGAGCTGCTCTCCGTCGTCATTCCCGTCCCGTCATCGTGTCCTGGGACGTCCCCTCCCGTCCGTCACGCCCCTGCGCTTCGCCCTCAGGCTCAGGGTCGCCAGGCCCAGGCCACGCTGCCTTCTGCATGTGCCACGCTCCCTCCTCGCGCCAGGCTCTCGGCCTGCCTCCTGGCCTGGGGGGTGCATTGGCAGCGTGGGGGGGAGGAGCCCTGACGGCCGTGGGCGCCGCGAAGACCCCCGCCAGGACCCCAGAGAGGTGCTAGAGCCCCCTCCCGTGGCCAGTCTTCCCTCGTACCAGGTGTCTCGGTTCTTTTCCATGTCTGTGAGACTCTGGTTGGGGTAAAGGCACGGTTTAGAGGTTCCTGGGGAATGGTTAGAAACAGCATGTGCCTCCCAGAAGCTCCCTGTGGTCACCCTGATGGCCACGGGACGTCCAGCCGTGCTGCCACTGCGTCTGCCCCGCAGGGTCCTTTCTGCTGCCCACCCCGTGTGTAACCCTGGCCATCGCTGTCCGTCCTGTTTCTGTAACTTTGTCATTTCCAGAGGGTCTGCTAGTGGAATCGCCACTGAGACATTTGGAATTGGCATTTCTCGGTCAGCCTGATGGAGTGTCACCCGGGCTGTCCTCTGACCCTCGGGGAGCATTGCTGGCCACGAGGGCCCACAGCGCTTTCGGCCGCTCACTGGTGACAGGCCTGGGCTGTTCTCTGACTCTGGGTCCTTGCAGAGCTGAAGGCTCGAGTTCTGGAGATCCCAGTGTGTCAGGTTCCCCTTCGCTGGACCACACCCTGTCCCGCCTAAGCACGCCTTCCTTAGGGCTCATCCCAGAGGTGTTCTCCTTGTGTTCGTCCAAAGGTTCGATAGTTTTGCATTTCACGTTTGAATCCATGGTCCGTGTTGTTAATCTCTGCAGGAGACGTGAAGTTGGGGAAGGGTTGGGTTTGTTTACTGCGGGGAGGTCTGCCTTGGATGTGTGAGGGCTCCAGCACCTCCAGCGGAAAAATCGTCCCTTCGTGGAGCTGCTTCTGTGCTTTCTCAAACCTCAGGGGGTGAGAGGGCGGGGAGGGGGGCTGCTCTGTTCTCCAGCCTGTGCCCTGCCCCTTCGTCCTCCCAGGTAACGTTAGAGCCAGCTTGCTCTTGTTCTCGGTAAACCTGCGACAGCTTGGTCAGAGCGGGCTCGGCCCACGGGCCAGTTTAGGGAGAACGGACTGCTCACCGTGTTGGTGGTGATGTGTATGCCGTGGGCTTCTCTGGTTTATCCTGTGAGTTCACTCGGCGTCTTGAACCTGCAGGTTTAAGTCTTTGGGAAATTCCCGGCGTAGTTACCAAGCTGCCCTCTTGTCCTCACTCTGGGAATCACCAGTCCTGGGAGCTTCCGGGGCGTGTCACACGACCCAGGTTTCTCCATTCCCTTCTGTCAGTCTCCTCTTCGGACCCCTTTCTTTCTCTCCTCTATCTTCATGCCCCTGATCCTGCCCCTGGTTCTGCCTGAGCCCGTTCTCTGAGGGCTGAGTGTTGTTTTAACATTCACCTCAGGATGTGTTTTGCTTTTTATTGCTTTTCTAGAGAGAGAGGGAAGGAGAGGGAGAGAGGAACATCGATCAGTTACTTCCTGCAGGCGCCCTGACCTGGGAAGAACGTGCAGCCTCAGTGTGTGCCCTGACTGAGAATTGAACCCGAAACCTTTTGGTGACTGGACGACGCTCCAACCAACTGGCCACCCAGCCAGGGCCCATCCTCTGAGTTTTAACTTGAGTTACTGTTTCACCATCTCAGCATTTTCCATGTGGTCCTTCTTTGCATCTTCCATTTTTAGTCTTTTGGTTTTTTGCCGAGTCCCGATCTCTTCCCGTTGCCTCGGTCGTGTTCTGGTGGCTGCGAGAGCCGTGTGCGGGGCTCCCTGCGAGTCCAGTGGGTAAGCCCACATCTGCGCCCCTTCGGCCTCTGGATGACCTTGTTCAGCCTGAGAGGTTCCTGTTCTCGTTGGAGAGACTTGTTACAACCAGAACCTTAGGGGTCAGGGGACAGACTCGTCCTTGATGTCTGTGGCCGCCGTCTCCCGGGCACCACACGGGGGCATCCTGGGTGGGGACATGGAGGCCTTGCACTCTCCACCCACCCACCCCAGGGGCGAGGACGGCCCTTCTCTGACACCTTGGATGTGCAGGTGGAGGCATTGTGCCAGGCGAGGGAGGGCGGGCGGCAGGCTGTCTCCTGTCGGAGAGGCTGTCTTCCTGTCCCACCAGCACAGCTCCTGTGGGGCTGGTTTGCTGCACCTGAGGGAGCTCTGGGCTGCAGGTTCTTGGCTCCCATCGACAGGAGCCCAGGAGGAAGCCAGGCAGGACCCCGGCTGGTCAGCCATCTTCCCCCTTTCAGAGCCGCTGAGGCCTGGTGCCTGGCGCTTGGTCGCACCAGGAGCAGGAGGGAGGGGGGAGATTCTCCACCTCCCCTCACCCCTCACGCAGACCCAGAAAGGCAGGAGCGGGGCCAGCGGTTTTGAGGTTCAGAGAACGACCAGATCAGGGGTGGACACGCAGAGCCGCAGACACGGGGAGGCCGGGCTCGTGCTGAGGGGCCGAGAGCCAGCGCCCACGGCGTGCTCAGGGTGCGGAGGACGGGCCTGTCTTCCTGCCGGCACCGAGAGCTGGCCTCTGCGGTCGCAGGCGCGCGGTTGCTGCCTCGTCCCTGTCAGCAGCGGCTGGGAGCAGCTCGAGCTTCCCCACAGGCTGCAGCTTGAGGGACACGGGAGAGTTCCAGCCACGGCGACTGTGAGCCATGCTGGGCCGGAGCCCAGACCCCACCTCGGGGATACGTGACGGCTGCCACCAGCTGGGCGCCGCCTCTCCAGGGGGTGGCGGCCCTCGGCAGTGTCCCCAGGCAGTTCTCCAAGTCCCAGCCCTGGAGACCCGCACACGGCGCCCTCAGCCTGAGGTCCCGGCTGGAGCTGGGCACGGGCAGTCAGTGCCGGTCAGAGGGAGTCGCTAGTGAGCCAGCATAGGCTGCGGAAGGTCAGTGCTGGCGGAGTGGGTCCAGAGCGTGCAGGCTGGCCCCAGGAGCAGGGATGGCTGTGAGGCCCCGCTGTGCTGCCCGCTGCTCTCCCAGACCCCTGCTTCTTGGTGACTGCCCCTCACTCCCATCTCCAGCTTCCTGTCCCCCCCACACACGAGTGTCCCCGTGCACGTGTGGCCTCTTCTGTACCAGTTCCTGTCCTGCTCCGAGTCCCTCTTCAGCTCTCTTCATTCACTCACTCTCCTAGACTCGCCCAGTGCCTTTCCAACCACAATGGCTGGTGTCTTTGGGACCTTGGAATACATTTTTCTCTAAATTACGAATAATTGGTGCACCGGACTAATATGCATATATTAATTTCATTCTCATTTGCCTGTGACACCCAGTAATATTCTCAGCTTCTGTTTATTGCTAAACTGTGTTTCTAGCTATAAAATGTTACTTATTTTCTTCATGTCAGAGGTTTTCATGGTTTTTCTCTTCTCTTTTCTCCCCTGGGGCCTCCCTTCCCCTTTCCGTGAACTGCCCCGGGGGCCCTGCGTCTCTCCTCACCCGCAGGGTTCTATGGCCTGGACGAGTCTGACCTGGACAAGGTCTTTCAGCTGCCGACCACCACCTTCATCGGCGGGCAGGAGTCGGCGCTGCCGCTGCGGGAGATCATCCGTCGGCTGGAGGTAGGCGTGCTCCCCACAGCCCGGCTCGCAGGAGGCCCCCCACAGGTGGGGTTTTCTTAGTCTTGTTTGTTATTTATTTATTTTTAAGTATATTTTATTGATTCTTTTATTTTATTTTATTTTATTGATTTTTCACAGAGAGGAAGAGAGAGGGATAGAGAGTCAGAAACATTGATGAGAGAGAATCATCAATCAGTTGCCTCTTGCACACCCCCTACTGGGGATGTGCCCGTAACCAAGGTACATGCCCTTGACCGGAATCGAACCCAGGACCCTTTAGTCCCCAGGCCGATGCGCTATCCACTGAGCCAAACCGGTTTCGGCTATTTTATTGATTCTTTACAGAGAGGGAGATGGATAGAGAGGTAGAAACATCGATGAGAGAGAAACATCAATTAGCTGCCTCTTGCACACCTCCTACTGGGGATGTGCCCACAGCCAAGGTACATGCCCTTGACCGGAATTGAACCTGGGACCTTTCAGTCCGCAGACTGACACTCTATCTACTGAGCCAAACCAGTTAGGGCAGTCTTGTTTTTTTTAAAACATACTTTTTATTGATTTTAGAGAGAGAGAAACAATGATGAGAGAGAACCATTGACCTGGCTATCTCCTGCACACCCCACACTGGGGATCAGGCCCACAACCTGGGCATGTGCCCCAAACAGGAATTGAACCCTGACCTCCTGATTCATGGGCGGATGCTCAACCACTGAGCCACACCAGCCAGGGGCATGTATTTCTTTAAATGTAAAGGAAGGAAATTCCTTTTGCTATTTTGTAATAAAACCCTATGGTTTTTAATTTTATAATCAACCTAAAAAAGGAAGTTTTGTGGGTTCCAGTCCAGTGGGAGATTGTTTCAGATGTGTGAGGTCACAGGCTGCCCAGCCATGCCCGTCGTTGGCACAGTCTGCTTGCTTTCCTCCAGTTTCTTCCCTCCCTCCCTGTGGAGCTGTGGGCGCCTTCCACGCGGGCACACACACACACGCACACACACAGCTGGGTGCATCAGGGAGGGAGGGTCTGGCTGGGTGTTGACCCACTGTGCGCCTGGCTGTGTGGAACAGAACGCCTACTGCCAGCACATCGGGGTGGAGTTCATGTTCATCAACGACCTGGAGCAGTGCCAGTGGATCCGGAGGAAGTTCGAGACGCCGGGGGTCATGCAGTTCACCAACGAGGAGAAGCGCACTCTGCTGGCCCGGCTCGTGCGGTCCACGAGGTGGGGCGGGGCGGGGGCGGGGCGGGGGCGGGGCGGGGGCGGGGCTGCGCAGGTGGGAGGCCGGCCCGGGGCGCGGCCAGCCCTGGGCTGTGCTCAGGCCCGGGGAGCGGCCAGCCCTGGGCTGCGCTCAGGCCCCGGCTCCTTCCAGGTTCGAGGAGTTCCTGCAGCGGAAGTGGTCGTCCGAGAAGCGCTTCGGCCTGGAAGGCTGCGAGGTGCTCATCCCAGCCCTCAAGACCATCATCGACAAGTCCAGTGAGAACGGCGTGGACCAAGTGATCATGGGGATGCCGCACAGGTCCGCTACCGTCCGGGGCCCCTCTCCCACCCCAGCACCCCTCCCTCACCCAGCACCCCTCATCTATCTCAGCGCCCCTCTCCCACCGGGCACCCCTCACCTACCCCGCCCACCCGGCACCCCTCGCCCTGCAGTTACCGTCATGCCCAAGGCCACAGGTGGCTCAGGCAGGCTTGTTGGCCTGGTGCTGCGTCTTATAAAAGTTAAAGCCAGAGCGGTTTGGCTCGATGGATAGAGCGTTGGTCTGTAGACTGATAGGTCCCGGGTTCGATTCCGGTCAAGGGCATGTACCTTGGTTACGGGCACATCTCCAGTAGGGGGTGTGCAAGAGACAGCTGATCGATGTCTCCCTCTCATCGATGTTTCTAGCTCTCTATCCCTCTCTCTTCCTCTCTGTAAAAAAACCATTAAAATATATATTTTTTAAAAAGTTAAAGCCAGAGCCCTTGGGGTCACCGCAGAGGCCGCTGACCTGAGGGAGGGCTGCAGTGCCAGCAGCCAGGACGCCCTTCCTCCCCTCGTCATGGCCTCAGGCGGGTGAATGGAGGCTGGCCTCCCCACCGGCTCTGGTCTCAGCACCTTGGGCAGCAAACCCAGGTGCTGCCTGTCCCTCGGAGGAGGAAGGGCCTGCTGACCCCTGACCCCGTGTGTCTAGGGGACGGCTGAACGTGCTGGCGAATGTCATCAGGAAGGAGCTGGAGCAGATTTTCTGTCAGTTCGACTCGAAGCTGGAGGCCGCCGACGAGGTGAGGCACCGGTCCCGGGAACGGGCGTGGCGCTGCCTGGGGACTGGCCAGGCCCAGCTTCAGGGAGAGGGTGGCTTCCTGGTCCGTCCTGGGCAGAGGAGTCGGGAGGGTGAACCAGCCTCCGTGTGCCGCAGGGCTCTGGGGACGTGAAGTACCACCTGGGCATGTACCACCGGCGGATCAACCGCGTGACCGACCGCAACATCACCCTGTCGCTGGTGGCCAACCCTTCCCACCTCGAGGCCGCCGACCCCGTGGTGATGGGCAAGACCAAAGCCGAGCAGTTCTACTGTGGGGACACCGAGGGGAAGAAGGTACGGCCACGGGCTGGGCGGACCACAGAGGCCTGGGGTGGCTGGGGCAGGGCAGCGACGCCATGCCTGCGGGCGGGTCTGCCCTCACGGTGCCCAGGTCTGGGCCGGAGCCCGTCTTCCTGAGGAGCCGGTGCTCCCGCCGAGCGGGCGGGAGTCTTTCCAGGTGCGGGAGGCCTGAGGGAGGCGGCGTGAAGGGACAGGGCGCCGTGGGATGACGGGGTCCCCAGGTGTGTACTCGGCCCCTCGGATGGTGGCGGCTGCGTGTGTCACACCAGGCAGGAACGCCGTGTCTGTCGGCAATGTTGTGCGTTCCAGGGGTACGAAGCCAGCAGCTCCCCCCTGTGTTTTGCTTCCGCCTTCCCCAGAAAGAAGGTCGTGGGGGAACAGAAGCCAGGAGCACCTGGGGCGGGGGGGGGCGGGGGTTGCTGGTGCATTGCCCAGCGGGGCGGGCGAGCTGTGTGCGGGCAGAAGTGGAGTGAGGGCAAGCGCCCTCCACCGAGCAGGAGTCCTCAGTCTGCAGAACGGCAGGCGCTGGCAGGTGGGCGGAGGGCGTCTGCAGGTGAAAGGTCAGACCTAGAAGTGGGACCAGGTCAGTGCGCAGGGTGTGCCTCGCAGACGGAGTCCGTGTGTCCTGGGCTTGGGCATCAGGAGAGAAGCTGCTGATGGGCAGCAGGACCGGTCCCTGCTCGGACGGACGCCTGCCCAGAGGAAGGGAGGCCCTGGGGAGGATGTCACCAAGTGGGCGGCTGCCTCTCGTGCAGCGGGAGGGGCTGAGGAACAGGATGCGGGCTCCCCACGCTCTGCACTGTTCTCCAAGGGCGCTGGCGATCAGAGCGAACTAGGGCGTGGGGCGCCAGCGCAGGTGTGTCCTGGTGTGGAGTGCGCCGTTGGGAGTCTAGTCAGGAGGGACCTTCAGGACCCTGGACCCCTCAGGACGTGGGGAGGCGAGGTGTTGGGAGAGCAGCCCTGCGCCCGCCCTCTCACCTTGGAGGGGCCTCAGAAAACCTTGTGAAAAGCTGCTGTGGCTTGCCCTCCGGTTTGCCCACTGGCTCTGTGGTCTGTGGTCTGCAGGTCATGGCCATCCTGCTGCACGGGGACGCGGCGTTCGCGGGCCAGGGCATCGTGTACGAGACCTTCCACCTGAGCGACCTGCCGTCCTACACCACCCACGGCACCGTGCACGTGGTGGTCAACAACCAGGTAACGGGCGGCCGCCAAGGCCTCTGGCCTCCGGCCAGCAGCGTGGCCCTCCCCCCCTCCCCCCCGCCATCCCACACCAGCCCAGCAGCCTGTGTCCCTCGCAGATTGGCTTCACCACGGACCCCCGCATGGCCCGGTCCTCACCCTACCCCACCGACGTGGCCCGGGTCGTGAACGCCCCCATCTTCCACGTGAACTCGGACGACCCGGAGGCCGTCATGTACGTGTGCCAGGTGGCTGCCGAGTGGAGGAACACCTTCCACAAGGACGTGGTGGTGGACCTGGTGAGCGGCCCCCGGGCTCGGGCTCCGGGGCCTGACTGTCCCGCCCGCGGCGGCCGTTGTGGCCGGGACGGTCCTGTGCCAGGACCTAACGCGGCGCCCGGCTGTCCCCAGGTGTGTTACCGGCGCAACGGCCACAACGAGATGGACGAGCCCATGTTCACACAGCCGCTCATGTACAAGCAGATCCGCAAGCAGAAGCCGGTGCTGCAGAAGTACGCGGAGCTGCTGGTGTCGCAGGGCGTGGTCAACCAGCCTGAGTACGAGGTGCCGTGCCTGCAGTGGCCCGCCTGCGGGTGCGGGCGGGGGGCTTTGGGGACGGGGCAGGGCGGCCTGCCTGAGGACTCCGCCATGGCCCCACCCACTTTCCAACTGGCAGTTTTGTGGCAGCGTGAGAGGCGGGTGCAGGTCCAGCTGTGGGTGGGGAGGGGCTGTGTGCATGGTGGGTCCCGGGTGCTCAGGAGGAGGTGAGGAGGCTGGCCCAGAGCAGCACATGGCAGATGTGGGAGTGGGGTTGCGGGGAGGGCGCTGTGGGCTCCATCCTGGCATGAGAGCAGGACTTGGAGCAGGAGGGAGAGTGGCAGGAGGCATGTGGAGAAGGGACCGTGGGCAGCATGGACCTGAGAGGTGGTGTGTGTGGGGAATGCCAAGGCCGGCTCTGCCTGCCGCCCCCAACACGGCGCCCGCCCGCCCTCCCGCCCTCAGGAGGAGATCTCCAAGTACGACAAGATCTGCGAGGAGGCCTTCGCCCGCTCCAAGGACGAGAAGATCCTGCACATCAAGCACTGGCTGGACTCCCCCTGGCCTGGTGAGTGAGGCGTCGCCACGGGCCCAGCACCGCGGCCCCGAGTCAGCCCCACCCCTCTCTCGGGGCGCCCGGGCGGCGGCGTCAGCGTGCCTCTGTCCTAGGCTTCTTCACGCTGGACGGGCAGCCCCGGAGCATGACCTGCCCCTCCACGGGGCTGGAGGAGGACATCCTGACGCACATCGGCAGCGTGGCCAGCTCCGTGCCTGTGGAGAACTTCACCATCCACGGAGGTGAGGGCGCACGGCCCCGGAGTTGGGCCAGGCCCCGGGGCCGGGCGGCGGGTGGTCACCGGCTGGAAGCCCTCTGCGCCCCTCGCCCGGCCTGGGTGGTCCTCGCTGGAGTGTGGAGGGAGGCGGGGCCGTGGCGGCCTCTCCCGGCCCGTGTCCCACGCCCCCCCCTCCTCCCGGGGCGGCCCCTGTCGTGGGCGGCCGGGCGGGTGGTGAGCGCCGTGTCTGCAGGGCTGAGCCGGATCCTGAAGACGCGTGGGGAGCTGGTGAAGAACAGGACCGTGGACTGGGCCCTGGCGGAGTACATGGCGTTCGGCTCCCTGCTGAAGGAGGGCATCCACATCCGGCTGAGCGGCCAGGACGTGGAGCGGGGCACCTTCAGGTGAGCTCCGGCCCTCACGGGGGGGTGGTCACTGCTTCTCCCAGGAAAACATGGCACGGCCACAGGGCCCGTCTCAGCCATCGCACGCTCCCCTGCCGATGCCGCCCCCTCCTGCCCCCCGCCTCACCCCTGCCTGTGCTGCCCCCTCCTACCCCCCCGCCTCACCCCCTGCCTATGCTGCCCCCTCCTACCCCCTGCCTCACCCCTGCCTGTGCTGCCCCCTCCTGCCCCCCGCCTCACCCCCTGCCTGTGCTGCCCCCTCCTACCCCCCGCCTCACCCCTGCCTGTGCTGCCCCCTCCTACCCCCCCGCCTCACCCCTGCCTGTGCTGCCCCCTCCTACCCCCCCGCCTCACCCCCTGCCTATGCTGCCCCCCTCCTTCCCCTACTTCATCTCCTGCCTGAGCTATCCCCCTACCCCCACCTCGTCCCCTGCCTCATTCCCCCCCCCCCCCCCCCCCCCCCGTGCTGCCTCCTTCCCGTGCGGCCTCCTGTTAGGCCGGGTGGGGGTCTGTTGCTGAGCAGAGGCAGTGGCCCTGCCTGTTCACCTGTGTTGTCGGCACAGCCACCGCCACCACGTGCTGCACGACCAGAACGTGGACAAGAAGACCTGCATCCCCATGAACCACCTGTGGCCCAACCAGGCCCCCTACACGGTGTGCAACAGCTCGCTGTCTGAGTACGGGGTCCTAGGTGAGCAAGGCCCCTGCCCCTCCTCCCCGCCGCCCCGCCCCCCTCCCCTAGGCACCCCCTCCCCGCCGCCGCGCCCCCCCTCCCCGCCGGCCCCCCCTCCCCGCCGCCCCACCCCCTTCCCTCCTGACGCCCTTCCCGCCCGCAGGCTTCGAGCTGGGCTTCGCCATGGCCAGCCCCAACGCGCTGGTGCTCTGGGAGGCCCAGTTTGGCGACTTCCACAACACGGCCCAGTGCATCATTGACCAGTTCATCTGCCCCGGGCAGGCCAAGTGGGTGCGGCAGAACGGCATCGTGCTGCTCCTGCCCCACGGCATGGAGGGCATGGTGAGCTCCGCCCCCACCCTGTGCCCTGGCGGGGGGGGGGGGGGCTGCCAGCAGGAGGGCGGGGGGGGGGCTGCCAGCAGGAGGGCCGGGGGGGGGGGGGCGGAAATGGGGCTGAACCGCACCTGCTTCCAGGGCCCAGAGCACTCCTCCGCCAGGCCCGAGCGGTTCCTGCAGATGTGCAACGATGACCCCGACGTCCTGCCGGTGAGGGCCGCCCTGGGGCGGGTGCCAGGCCCGGGGGTGCCAGGCCCGGGCGGGTCTCCGTGAGGCTCCCGAGGGGGAGCCGTGGGGGCCGCTCTGTGTCCGAGGCAGGCAGGGGCCCGAAGGAACGAGCCTCTGACCGCACTTGAATGACAGGAGTCAGCCTTGTCAGGAGGAGGGTGGGTGGAGGTGGGGCCTGGCTTCCTGGCCAGGCAGCCTTGTCAGCAGCCGGGGGCGGCGTGGGGATGGGGCGGGGAGGGCGGCGTGGGGACGGGCAGGAGCGGGGAGGGCGGCGTGGGGACGGGCAGGAGCTCCTTGCGTCCTGAGCGCCTGTCCTCCCCCAGAACCTCCAGGAGGAAAACTTCGACATAACTCAGCTCTACGACTGCAACTGGGTGGTGGTCAACTGCTCCTCGCCCGGCAACTTCTTCCACGTGCTGCGCCGCCAGATCCTCCTGCCCTTCCGGAAGCCGGTCCGTGGGCTCCCGGCAGGGCCTGGCCAGGGGGGTGGCTGGGATGGTGGCGTGGGAGGTGCATGGAGCGGGGAAGATGGGGAGCCCGAGGGAGGAGAGCACTTCCGCTGCTGCTGCTGCAGGTTGAATGCACGGCCGCGCGGCCCACAACACGGACACCGGCCACAGGCAGCACGCTGGGCGGGAGGGCCTTCTCCTGGGAGAGGGGGTGACTGGGACTCGGGCAGGCGCCTGGCTCAGCAGGGCCCAGCCCCTCAGCCGAGGAGAGGTGGGCAGGGAGCTGCCTCATGCTTTCCCCTTCGTCACGCTCCTGACCTGTGGCTGGTCCTGACCGCACAGCTGGGAGGGCAGTCCCTCTGGTTGACCCTCCTGGGACCTGCGGTCCTGGTCCATCCTGAGCCTGTGGTCCTGTGTTTCAGCTGATCGTCTTCACCCCCAAGTCCCTGCTGCGGCACCCCGAGGCCAGGACCAGCTTCGACGAGATGCTCCCAGGTGGGTGCAGGCGGGCAGGCCTTCTGTGCTCTGGGTTGGGGCCCAGGCTGCCTCCATGCGGCCCGTGCACTTCAGCGTCGCTGGTGAAAGACCCCAAACAGGACAGCCAGACGTCTGAGCTCCCGTGCTGCTCGGCTGCCCGGGTCTGCGCCGTGGCCTGGAGCCTCCCAGGGCCTCAGCGGCAGGGAAACGTGCTGTGGGCCTCCCGGGCTGGAAAGCTCACGGGCACCGGAGGCCGAGGGGCTTCTGGTGTCAGCCCTGCCGCCATGCGTGTGATTCCGCGCTCACACAGGCGCACACACAGGTGTCCTAAGCCACGTCCGGTTCTCTCCTAGGGACCCACTTCCAGCGGGTGATCCCGGAAAACGGCCCCGCAGCCCAGAACCCAGAAAACGTGAAGAGGCTCCTGTTCTGCACCGGCAAGGTGTACTACGACCTCACGCGCGAGCGCAAAGCGCGGGACATGGTGGAGCAGGTGGCCATCACGAGGATCGAGCAGGTGAGGGCCGGGAGCGGCCGCCGGCGTGGGCACACCCCTCTGGCGCCAGTCTGGTGGCTGCCCCAGCGTCCTGACAAGCCCCTCTCCCCAGCTGTCGCCGTTCCCCTTCGACCTGCTGCTGCAGGAGGTGCAGAAGTACCCCAACGCCGAGCTGGCCTGGTGCCAGGAGGAGCACAAGAACCAGGGCTACTACGACTACGTGAAGCCGCGGCTGCGCACCACCATCAGCCGCGCCAAGCCCGTGTGGTAGGCGCCGCCCGCGTCGGGCACCGGGCAGGGGGCAGGGGGTCCGGGCCCCGGCGGCCTTGCCTCACTGTCTGTCCCCCCAGGTACGCCGGCCGGGACCCCGCGGCAGCACCAGCCACCGGCAACAAGAAGACCCACCTCACGGAGCTGCAGCGCCTGCTGGACACAGCCTTCGACCTGGACGCCTTCAAGAACTTCTCGTAGACGCTGCCTGGCCGCCGGGCCCCAGCCCCGTCCACCACTGCCCCCGCTTCTCGATTAAAGAATACATAGTGCCTCCCTCCGCGCGCCCACGCCTCCGTGTGCCCACACTCCTCGCCCCTTCGCCGCTGCTGTCCTCGCAGGGCCGGGCGGCTCCGAGCTTCCCCGCTGAGCAGCCTTCAGAGGCTGTGGGAGCTGGGGGAGGGCGCCCCCAGGTGTCCTGGGAGGGTCGGCCAGCCGCACCCCAGCTCCACCCAGAAACAGGCCTGGGGCTTTCCACCCATCAGGGGGTCCTCTTCCTGGGTGGAGCCTGACACCTGGCAGGACCATTGCCTCAGAGGCCCAGTGGAGGGGCGGGCGGCTGATGGGCCTGACCCTGACCTGACAGAGCCGCCCGCTCCCGTGTCCACTGCACTTCTCAGAGGGTCTGGTGGGTGTGGCCAGAGGAGGGAGTCAGAAGCTCCAATGGCCCACAGCCAGGGCGGCCACGGTCTGACGTCCGGCTCCTGCCACCTTCCCTCGGCCTCACAGCGCCCCGACTTCTCACCTGGCCCCTTCCGCACCGCGGAGACCAACTGGGAATTCTCTCTCTGCTGTGCCAAAGCTGTTAGGGGGCGAGGCGGGGCCTCCCCCCGCGCCTGTCACAGGGACAGATCTGATTTATTTATTTTGGTTTAAAAAAAAAGGGTAAAAACACTTTGCGTTGCATTTGGCTTGACTTGTAAACTAAGTTATCCATGAATCTGTCTGCGAGTCTTTCTTTCCGCCGCCTTCTCCTTGCCGCCACACCTATGCCCATGTGCCCACAGACCACCCCTCCCCCTGCCCGGCCTGCCTGCCATCCATGCACATCATGCCGGGTCCACGTTCTGAGCCTTCCGTCCGGTCCCCCTGCGAGGTCTGGTGGGTTCCCTGGATCTGTTAGTCGGCATCCCCGCCCAGAAGCCAGCCCAAGCGGCCCTCAGGGGAGCAGGTACACCAGCAGGGTCCCCGTCCCCACTCTTGACAAGAGTACCAGTCTTGAACCCACAACTGGTCAGCCTTAGCCTCCAGGGGGCAGCCCTGAGGGAGAGCTCAGGGAAAGGCCTGACGTGGACATGGGGTCCCTCCAGTAGCAGGAACTCCTGATGGTCACCCCGCCCTCTAGGCCACACCTGAGTCCCTTGTCCTGGAAGCCTCTTCAGGATCAATTTTACCTTGAGTGTTCCCTGCAGCTTGCCCGACAGCCCTCCAGTCCTGGCATGAGGGCAGCCATGTGCAGGTGTGCCCAGGGCCTGCATTTGGCCCCAGTTAGGGATCCTGGAAGCCGAAGTCTCCCTCCTCAATATTTTAAAAAACATTTTTATTTCAGAGAGGAGGAGGAGTGACAGAATCATTGATCAACTGCCTCCTACACCCCACACAGGATCAAACTCGCAACCTGGGCTTGTGCTCTTACCGAGAATCAAACAGTGGCCTCATAGGTAGACACGCAACCACTGGGCCACGCCAGCCAGGCATCCCCTCAATAACTGAAGAATACAAAGTTGGCCTTGGCTGGTTTGGCTCAGTGGATAGAGCATCAGTCTGCAGACTGAAGGGACCCGGGTTCGGTTGCAGGCTCGATCCCCAGTGGAGGACATGCAGGTGGCAGCCAATCAATGATTCTCATCATTGGTGTTTCTGTTTCTCCCTCTCCCTCACTTAAAAATGTATTTTAAAAAATAATAAAAATAGCCGAAACAGGTTTGGTTCTGTGGACAGAGCGTTGGCCTACGGACTGAAGGGTCTTTGGTTCGATTCTGGTTAAGGGCATGTGCCTTGGTTCCAGGCACATCCCTAGTAGGGGGTGTGCAGGAGGTACCTGATCAATGTTTCTCTCTCATCGAGCTTTCTAATTCTCCCTCTCCCTCTCTGTAAAAAATCAAATATTAAAAAATAAATAAAACACTTTAAAAATAAAGACATGGCCTAGCCCTGGCCAGTTAGAGCATCTTTGCTACACAAAGGGGTCAATCCTCAGTCGGGGCACACACAAGAATTAACCAACAAATGCATAAATAAGTGGAACAACAAACCTCTCTCTTCCTTTCTTCCCTCCTTCCTTTCTCTAAGATCAATCAAAAAAAGTTTAAGCGCTTTCCCATCTCTCCTATTTTAAAATATGTGGTCTAGCCCTGGCCTGTTTGGCTCAGTGGATAAAGCATCGGCCTGCGGACTCAAGAGTCCCAGGTTCAATTCCAGTCAAGGGCATGTACCTTGGTTGCGGGCACATTCCCAGTAGGGGGTGTGTGTGCAGGAGGCAGCTGGTTGATGTTTCTCTCTCATCGATGTTTCTATTTCTCTTCTCTGTGAATACCATATATATGTATATATATATGTATATATATAAAATATTTAAAAAATAAAATATGCGGTCTACCCATATAATGGACTATTACACAGCCATAAAAAGGAATGAAATACTGACACATGCTACAACATAGAGCGTTGGTCTACAAACAGAAAGGTCCTGGGTTCGATTCCAGCCAAGGGCACATGCCTGGATTACAGCTCAATCCCCTGTAGGGGGCGTGCAGGAGGCAGCCGATCCATGATTCTCTCTCGTCATTGATGTTTCTCCCTTTCCCTTCAATAAAAACATTTTTTTAAAAGCCAAGGGTGATCACGACAAAGTGGTCTTCCTAAAGGAGGGGAGGAAAAGTGGAGGAAGCTGAAAGGGTGATAACAGCACGTGAAAGGTGCAAACTGAGCAAATGCGTCAGTGGCTGGAACCCAGAGCCGTTCCAGGGGGGGCAGTTCGGGAAGAGGGAAGAGCCAGGGGCCCAGCGGGGAGTTCGATGGCCGGGTTCGCCAGTGACCCGCCCGCCTCCGGGAGATGCCCGAGGACACCCGTCACCTCCCGACCCCGCCTCCCTGCCCCACAGGCCACGCCCTCCTGTTCCGCCGTGCAGGGCCCGCCTCCCTCCTGACGTCCGGGCCTCCCGTCCCCGCCCAACAGGCTCCGCCCCCTACGTCATCAGTCCTGCCACACCCCCGCCTCGCCAGCCTGACAGACACCGCCTCCGCATTGGCCTCGCCCACCAATCACTCCTCCCGCCCCCCGACCCGGAAGCCCCGCCCTCCCCCTCCTCCGCCCTGTCCCGCCCCGGCCCCAGCCATCCCGGCCCCGTCCCGCCCGGCAGAGCGCGCTGGGAACGCGGTGGCTCCGCGGACGCGGCGCCTGGAAAGGTGTGGACCGGGCGGGATCGCAGGTCGCCCCGGTCCGCCCGCCCGCCGTCCCCGCGGCCCTGTGCCTGCGCACGGCCCCGCCCGAGCGCGGCTCGGGGCTCGGCTGCTCTGGCCTGGGGGCGGGGCCGCGGCGTCATGCATATGCATGAGGCGGCTCCATTGTGCCCTGGGAGCGGCGCGATGGCGCGGGCGGCGGGGCCGGGGCGGCGGGCGGCGCGCAGGGCGGGCTGAGCGCATGGAGCGGCGCGGGCCGGGGGCCGCGGCGGCGAGGGGCCGGGCCCGGCCGCGCGGAGGTGAGCGGGCCGCGCGCGGGGCGGGGCGGGGCGGGGGCAGGTGCGGCAGGTGCGGGCGGCGGCGCCTCGGCGGGGCCGGGCGGAGCGGCCTGCGCTTGCGTCGCGGCCCCGGCGGCCGGTGCGCGGACCCTCGCCTGGGCCTCGGCGGCGGCGGGAGGCTGCCCCGGCCGGCGGGGTGCGGAGGCTGCCCGCCCCGCCGCCCTGGCCCGGGGCCGGCGCTCCGACCGGCCTGGCGGGCTCCCCGGGCCGAGCGCGCCCACCGCCGGGGAGGCCGCCGGCGGCGCTGACCTTCCTCCAGCCGGCGGCCCTGGGCTCACCCCTTTTCTCCCGGGACCGGGAGGCTCTGCGGAGGTGTCCCTCCCCGGGGGTCCGGTTCCCTCTGACCTGCCCCTCTGCATTGTTGTGCCCGCCTGCTCCCCATCCTCCCTGACCTCCCCCTCTGCTCCGTCCCCCACGGCTTCCCTCCCACCCTGACCTGCTGCCCCCCGACCTCCGCCCACCTTCCTGCCCCCGCACCGGTGCCCGTGCCCTCCTCCCTGACTGATGGCTGCAGAACGTCCAGGTGATGTCCGTCATTTGTTCTCTCAGGAGACCTCGCAGGGAGGACATGGAACCCCTGGCTGGGTACACAGGCGGGTGGTCAGTGGGGTAGACACCGTCCCTCCCAATCCTGCCGGGCCAGCACCAGGGGGCCTTCCTGAGGAAGCCGGAAGGTGACAGCACCCCAGAGGGAGTCAGCCCAGCCTCCGGTGCCACCCGGCACTTGTCCCACCCCGGGCGGCCACAGGTGGGAACAGGAATCGGGGAAGATGCCGGGGGAGGAGGTCTCGTCGCCGGCTCCATGGCCAGAGCGCCAGGGCTCCCGCGGAATGTCCACCAGCTCCTGTATCCAGGCAGGAGCCGGCTGATGACATGGTGCCACAGGTCCTTCCCTCTCCTCCGTCCTAGGCTGCCCACCGCGTCCCCGTCTTACATGTAAACAGACTCAGAGGGTGACCCCTTCACCCGTCCCTGCCACCCACAGCCCTTGTTCTGGGCGTTCTGGACAGACTGGCAGTTCTGAGTCCTGCTCCAAGGGGGCCCGGCCTGTTTGACCCCATGAGCCTCGGGTGGCCTGTGGCCAGGAGAGGGGCTCGCCGCCGGGGTCAGGGTGGCCAGGCAGAAGAAGTGGAGTGGAGGGTGCAGCTGCTGTGAGGCTCTGGGGCAGAGGGGCCTGGGGAGTGGGTTGTCTGGAGGGAGATGTGATGTGACCCCAGAAAGCCGGGTGGTCTTCTAGACGACCTCCAGCCGGGTCGATTCTGCCCAGGGGTCCTGGCTTCCCGCCGGAATTGGCACAGGCAGGCACGGGCCTGGCACCGCGGCTCCTTCCCAGCTCCCTGCCGGGCCGGGCGGGAGGCCCGGGTACCTGTGGAGGCTTCTGGGGAGAGAGGCTCGCTCAGGAGCCGGGCGGCAGGAAGTCCCCGCCCCCGCCCGTGAAGTGAGCTCTGGGGAACTGGAAATGTCTGTGGTCGGTCCACGGCAGAGGAGCCTGGGGGTGGAATTCCCCAGACCTCGTGGTGTGCTGCGGCCCTGCACCTGCCTGGGGCCTGGTCCTCCTGGCCTCCCCCATCTGTTTGCTCCCAGGAGGGCAGAGGGGGCCCACAGCCCCAGCAGCTCAGGTGTGGGAGGACTGCCGGGGCCTCTGGAGAGGGCTGCTGGTGCGTCTTAGTCTTTATTTTGTGAGAGCTCGAGTCTCCGAGCCCGCTGTAGAAATAACAGCCGGTGCACCATCACCTGCGTCCCCGCAGGACACAGCTGAGCCAGATACCCCTCCCCGCCTCACCCCTCGCGGATGGTCTGTATTCGTTGTTTCGGGGAGGACCTGTGAAGGAGCCGTGCAGTGTGTAGCCTGTGGGGACTGGCCTTTTCCACACAGCAGCCTCCGCGATCCCGCAGGCTGGGGCCGGATCGGCGGCCTCTTCAGGCCTCGGCTGTGGGTGCTCACCCCTGATCGTCGTTAGCCTGGAGGGCGTCTGGGTTTCCCTTCTCTGGTGGTTGGGAGGAAAGCACCTTAAACGTCACCCACAGATTTCACTGGAGCACCCAGATGTTTCTCTGAGATAAGCCAAAGCCCTCAGAGGGAGCTCTGGGTCAGAGGGACGTGCAGCCTCGCCGGGAGAGATCCCGGGTCCCCGGGGGACCGGGCAGGTGTGCCGTGACGGCGCGGTGCTGCTGCGTGTCCTGTGTCGGGGGCCGCGGCACGCCTCTGGTGGAACGCCTCCTGTCTGCCCTCTTTCTGGCGGGCTTGTCTGGTGGCTGCTCCGGGCCGTCCTGTCTCCCAGCTGGAGCTGGTTCCCCGTCCTCCTGTGGGTCGGATATGAGTGCTTTCCTCGGCCTAGCCCAGAGGTCCCTCCTGGTTGTCCCGAAGGACTTCCCGTTTGTGTGTGCGTCTGGGTCGGGGGGCTGTCCCGGGCGTTTCTGGAGAGGTTGGGTTGAGGCTTCTCCCGCTGGACCTGGGAATGTTTGCACCTGGTCGGAAGTCTGGGGGGTTATTTGTGGGGGGCGTTTGGGTTCTCTGGTCTCTGCCGTTGCCTGTGCGCCGACCCTGCCAGCACCACAGCCTGACTTAGCTGCTGGGGAAACACACACGCACATGCACACGCACACGCACACGCACACGCTCCAGCCCCACCCAGGTCCGAGGAGCGCTTCTGGCAGGTTCCCACCCCAGTTCCCATTTGGCCGGTGACCCTGGGTCCCTGTCCAGCCTCTGCTTCCCAGGTGGAACCCAGATGGGGGGTGGGGGCGAGGGTGAGGCAGGAGAGACCTGAGTCCGAGTAGGGACAGGCCCAGTCTCCCGGGGACCCCCCTCCCCACCGTGCCCCCACGCACTGTTTGCGGAGGACATGGTGGTAGCCTGTCTCCTCGGGCAGCCTGCTGGTCAGCACTCAGGAATGAGCCTGGGGTTGGGTGGATGCTGGGCCCCGTCCCCTGGGCCAGAGGGAGGCACCAGGAGTGTGGCCTGTCCCCGGCCGCCTGTCTGAGTGTGTGGCCTTGCACCCGAAAACGCACTGGGGCTTCACACCTGACCCTTGACCCCAAGAAGGTGCCGCCCAAGAGACTGAAAACACAGCCCAAGTACGAGGCTCTGAGGTTAGGCAGGCAGGAGGGCATGGAGGGCCCGGGGGCAGCACAGCCTAGGCCTGTCGGTGAGGCTGGCTGGGGTATCGGAACGCGGGCAGCCGGGAGGACAGGCCAGCCTGAGGCACTGGATGGGAGAGGGAGCCCTGCATGGCACAGGGCACCAGCAGCCTCTGCCAGCCCCGCGGCCGTGTCTGCATTGTCCCTTCCATGTCCACGGGCACCACAGCCTCCCACCGAGTGCTGTGTGTCTGTCTTGGGGGAGCTCGGGTCCTTGTGCCCGGCCCCCACCGGCCAGTCCCCTTGGCCTCGGAGTGAGGAGTGATTGCTGCTGCCTTGAGGGAAGCAGGGGCGGGGGCAGACCTTACAGGTGATGGCCCCGCATGGTGCCCCAGGCCAGGCTGACCCCAGCCTCCACCTCAGGCCTCTGGGGACGCTGGATAGTCTCTGCCTCTGTGACTGTCCAGGCCCCGAGTGGGAAATATTGGGGGTCAGAAGGCCTGCTTCCAGAGCTGGTCCAGGTCTCTGGGGGGCAGGGCCTGGCCAGAAAGGGCTCATGGTGCTCTGGGCTGGGCTTGGGCTCGCTGCCCTGACCCCCTCCCCCCCGAGTGGCCCTGGTATTCCAGTCTCACCTCCCCTGCCCTCCATCACCCAGACCCCAAACCCTGCACCTGAACCTTGTCCCCTGACCCCAAACCCTGCACCTGAACCTTGTCCCCTGACCCCAAACCCTGCACCTGAACCTTGTCCCCTGACCCCAACTGCTCCCGGGCCTCCCAGCTGCCTCTCCACTGATGTCCTTCCCTCCGTCCCACCAGCCAGAGCAGCTGAGTCCCACGTCAGCACCGGTGAGGGCTGCTTCCTGCCACCCACAGACCTGGCCTCCCGGCTGCTCCCAAGCCAATGAACCCCATGAACCCCATGAAACCTGCCCTGCCCTCAGCGCCACACAGGTGAGTAGTGCTCCTGCCGCCCTGCTCCCAGCCTCCCGTTCTCCCAGTGGCGCTGGCACCTGAGGCTCCAGCCCCACCCGCCCTGTCCCCACAGTGATGGTCCCTTCGCTTACGAGGCGGTGCCTTGGCAGCAGAGCGCCCCCCAGCCTGCAGGATCGCTGTCCGTGGTCACGACCGTGTGGGGAGTGGGCAACGCGGCCCAGAGCCAGGTGAGCGCCCGGGACCTCAGGCTGGAGGCTGGTCTCCCTGCACCTGCTGACTTCCTCCCGTCCTCACCGGCCTCCACCACCCCTCTGGGCCCCCCTGAGCCCCCATCACCTCACCCCCCCGCCGGGCCTCTCCTAGAGCCGCTCTGGGAAACGGTGTCTGCATGGTTCCCTCGTGACGCTGGCTTCCTTGCAGGTTCTGGGGAGCCCCATGGGCCCGGCTGGGAGCCCGCCTGGCAGCTCCATGACGCCGGGCGTGGCCGGCGGCAGCCCCGCCCTGAGCTCCCCGCAGTGCCTGGGACAGCAGGCGTTCGGGGAGGGCGGGGCCAGCAAGGGCTACGTACAGCAGGCGGTGTACGGCCGCGGCGGCTACCCTGGGGGCCCTGGCTTCTCCACCGGGTGAGCACACCCCACCCGCGTCCGGGCCCCGGGAAGGGCCGTGGTCTGTGCCCACCCTGGGCCGCAGGCGCGGCCCCCTGAGCCATCCTGTCCGTCTCCCGCAGGTACACAGGGGGGCCTGGGGGCCTGGGCCTCCCCTCCCATGCCACACGGCCCTCCACAGACTTCACTCAAGCAGCAGCAGCTGCCGCCATGGCTGCTGCTGCCGCCACGGCCACGGCCACGGCCACGGCCACCGTGGCCGCCCTTCAGGAGAAGCAGAGCCAGGAGCTGAGCCAGTACGGAGCGGTGAGGCCGCCCGCCCCAGGCCCGCTGCTCGGGGCGGTGGGATGGTTAGAGCCCGCTCGGCTGCCTGCAGGATGTGCACACCGTGGGGAGCAGGGAGGCCCGGTCCGCCCGCCATGGTGGCCGGGCCTGGATGTGCCTCTTCCCTTCCAGATGGGGGCCGGGCAGGCCTTCGGCCCCCAGTTCCTGCAGCACGGAGGGCCCCGGGGGCCCGGCGCGCCCCCCGGCCTGAGCCCCATGGGCATGACCCCCACCCGGGCGGTGGGCATGGCCCCTCTGTATGCCGGGCAGCGCCCGCCCCAGCACGGGCACCCCGGGGCTCTGCAGGCCCAGCCGCTGCCCCGACAAGGAGTCAAGAGAGCCTACGCCAGCGAGGTGAGCGCCCTGGGGCCCGGAGCCGGACGTCCGTGTGAGGGGCCTGGCTGTGGGCACTGCTGTCCTCCTGGGAGCTGGCCTCCCTGACCGCCTCCCCGGGCATCTGCCTCTTCCTCCTCAGGTGTACTCAGCGCAGCAGTACCTGGCAGGAGGCCAGTACTCACCCAGCACTACCCAGTATGCCCCCGGGCAGCCCCCTGCCCCCTCTTCCTACCCTGGACACAGGCTGCCCTTGCCCACCGCCGGCCCCCCGGGCCTGCACTACAAGGTAGGCCAGCCTCCTGGGCCTGCAGCAGCCCCCGTTCCCAGGGGACACAGACGTCTGGGTGGGCTGGGGAGTGACCCCGCAGCCACAGTCTCCTGGCCCTGAGTGCAGGGCCCCCGCACGGCCTCTGGCACCGTGCCCTGCGCTATGGGGCCGGCAGGGGTCAGGCTGCAGCCCACCACGTGGTCTCTCTCAGCCCACAGATCCGTTCAACGGGCAGAGTGCCGGCTTCAGCGCAGGGAGCATCGGCTACGGCCCGCCGGGCCTGAGTGGGGTATGCTGGCCCCGGGCGGCGGGAGGCTCCCCTGGCTGCCGGCCGTTTCCCCGGGTGCTCAGGAACACGGCAGCCCCCATTCTGCCTTGACTGTCTGCTCTGTCCCACAGCCCGCCCGTTCCGTCCCTGGCTACCCCAGCTCCCCACTGCCAGGGAGCCCCACGCCGCCCATGACCCCCGGCGGCTGCGTCCCCTACATGGCCACCAGCCAGGACGTGAAGTCCCCCTTCCTGCCTGACCTCAAGCCCAGCGTGAGCTCCCTGCACCCATCACCGCCCGGTGAGTGGCGCCTGGTCCTGGGACAGTGGAGGGCAGGGCCTGCAGGTCGCTGAGGAAGTTCCTGACGCCGCTCCGGAGTCAGAGCCCTGTGGCCGGGTCCCGAAACCTCACTGGAGCACACAGTGATGGCTGGCAGGCGCCCACGAGCCCTCAGGGCCCACCGCTGGGAGCACCCGCTGGGTCTGGGCGGGCTGCCCTAAGCCATCATGGAGGGCTGACGGCCAGTGGCCGGGGAGGGCGGGACCACGGCCCATCCCGGCACATCGGAGGGACGGCAGCCCGGGTTCCGGAGACACGCCCAGGCCCAGCCAGCGGAGGGGTGGGCTGCCTCCTGGGGGGAGGCGGAGCTGCTGACACCGGCCGCTCCCAGGCAGCGGCCCCGGCGACGAGCTGCGGCTGACCTTCCCGGTGCGCGACGGCGTGGTGCTGGAGCCCTTCCGCCTGCAGCACAACCTGGCCGTGAGCAACCACGCCTTCCAGCTCCGCGACTCCGTCTACAAGACCCTGATGCTGAGGTGAGCGCCCCCGGGCCCCGGCCCCCGGCCCCCGCGCCCGCGCCCAGCTCTCAGCGCCGCTCTCCCCGCAGGCCTGACCTGGAGCTGCAGTTCAAGTGCTACCACCACGAGGACCGGCAGATGAACACCAACTGGCCGGCCTCGGTGCAGGCCAGCGTCAATGCCACGCCGCTGTCCATCGAGCGCGGCGACAACAAGACCTCCCACAAGCCCCTGTACCTGAAGCACGTGTGCCAGCCCGGCCGCAACACCATCCAGATCACCGTCACAGCCTGCTGCTGCGTGAGTGCCCTCTGCCCCGGAGAAAGGCCCCTCCGACTCCCGTGGCTCCGCAGCCCCCGCGCCCAGTGGGCACTCACTCGCTGTGCAGGAGGCTGAGCTGGGGGGTCAGAGTCAGGAGCCGGGCCCACACCCTCTGACACCACCCTGACCCACCCTGCCTTGCAGTCCCACCTGTTCGTGCTGCAGCTGGTGCACCGGCCGGCCGTCCGCTCGGTGCTGCAGGGCCTCCTCAAGAAGCGGCTGCTGCCGGCCGAGCACTGCATCACCAAGAGTGAGTGCCGCCCACCCTGCCCGCTGGACCGGGCGCAGCTGTCTCCCGGGCGGGGCCCTGGGCGGGGCCCCCTGGCCGGCGGCCTGTCATCAGCCTCCCTGTCGCCCCAGTAAAGCGGAACTTCAGCAGCGGCACCATCCCCGGCACCCCCGGGCCCCACGGAGAGGACGGGGTGGAGCAGACGGCCATCAAGGTGTCCCTCAAGTGCCCCATCACCTTCCGCAGGATCCAGCTCCCCGCCCGCGGCCACGACTGTCGCCACATCCAGGTGGGTCACGCCGGCTCTCCAGCAGCCAGCAGGGGGCCTGAGGGTGCTGGGGGAAGGCGGGTGCAGGGGCAGCCGCCCCTCAGGCCCAGGAGCCCCACAGGTTCTCCACAGAGACGAGCGTGTGCCCTGGGCCTGGCTGTGGGCAGCACCGCGGGCACCAGTGCCGCTCCGGCTTCGCCCCGTGGTGTCGGGCCCAGTGGGGCCAGTGGCTGCCCCAGGCTTGGCCCGTTAGGACGCTGGGTAGTGAAAACCTGGTGCTCTGGGCTTCCAAACACACAGGAAATGTGCCCCTGGAGGGGCATGGCTGGGCGCGGCCGGTGTAAGACACCTCCTCTCCCCTCTCTCCCCCCAGTGCTTCGACCTGGAGTCCTACCTGCAGCTCAACTGTGAGCGGGGGACCTGGCGGTGCCCTGTGTGCAAGTAAGTGTCCCAGAGACAGGCCCCGGCGTGCGGGCAAGGCCTCTCCTGGGGACGCATGGGCCCAGCTCGGGAGACTCCTGCAGGGAAGGGTGGGGCTGAGAAGAGACAGGCCTGGGCCCAGGGCGAGGCTGGCCAGCCTCTGAGCTGCGTCCTGTTTGCTTTGCAGCAAGACGGCCCTGCTGGAGGGCCTGGAGGTGGACCAGTACATGCTGGGCGTCCTCATCTACATCCAGAAGTGAGTTCCCGGCCCCGGCCCCCAGCCCGGCTGGCAGGGGCAGCCCCTGGGTGGCGGGTGGGCCCTTGCTGACCCACACCCCACACCCCACACCCCACACCCGTCGGGGCCCGTGGAACGTGCACTTGCGGGGAGAGCTGCCGAGGGCCTGCCGGCCGCAGGGCCCCAGGCCGGGTGGTGACGCCGTGTCCCGCCAGCTCCGACTACGAGGAGATCACCATCGACCCCACGTGCAGCTGGAAGCCGGTGCCCGTGAAGCCAGACGTGCACGTCAAGGAGGAGCCGGACGGGCCGGCCCTGAAGCGCTGCCGCACCGTGAGCCCCGCCCGCGCGCTGCTGCCCAGCGTGATGGAGATGATCGCCGCCCTGGGCCCCGGGGCCGCCCCCCTCGGCCCCCTGCCGCCCCCCTCCGCCCTGGCGCCCGGCGACTACCCCAGCCAGGGTGAGTGCAGCCGTGCGGCCTGCACACGGGACCCGGTGCCGACGGCCGTGCTCTCCGAGCCAGTCCGCTCCCGGGGGGCAGCCGTGGCCACGCCTGGGAGGGCCGGTCGTGCAGGTGTGGCTCTCCCAGGGGGTGGGCAGCAGGGTGTCCAGCGGTTTCAACACGGGGCCATCTGCCCACATCCACCGCCTGGCCCCCCGACACCCCGCTCTCCTCTCAGGCTCCAGCTTCCTGGGACCCGGGACCTTCCCCGACTCCTTCCCGTCCACCACACCCAGCACGCCAACCCTTCCCGAGTTCACGCCAGGGCCGCCCCCCGGCTCCTACCAGTCTGACGTTCCCAGCAGCCTCCTGACTCCGGAGAAGTCCACGCCCAGCCTCCCGGGCCAGGTCAGTGCCGGCTGAGGCCGCGGGCTGCCTCCTGAGCCCTGGCATCTTCCCAGCTCCTCCTCTCCCTCCCCAGATGGCACCTGCAGCTCACCTGGATCCCGCTCACAACCCTGGGCCGGCCGCTCTGCACACCCCCAACCTCGGAGGCCCCCCAGGCCCCCAGCTGCACCACCCCAACCCTCCCCCCGCGGCCCGGCAGCCCCTGGGCCCCGTGAGCGGGGCCCCCGCCGGCGAGCTGGCCTTCCACTCTGCCAGCGGCGTCATGGCGCCCCCCATGTCTGGGGCGGGGGAGGCCCCGGAACCATCAGCCCTGGACGTGAGTACAGTGCGCACGGGAGGGGGCTGGCTGGGAGCTGTCCCTCAGCCGCAGAAAAACACGAAGAGCCAGAGCGGCTCAAAGCATAAAGCCACACGGGGTCCCTGCAGGCCCTGGGCCCCCAGCGGCAGCATTCCCGCGGCCGCCTGAGGGGGGCGGTATTGGCCGCGGGGCAGCGTGTCCTGATTCTTGTCCCAGAGCTGCCTCTGCACAGAGCTTGGACGGGAGGGGACCCCGCATCCCGCCCCCCACTGGGCGTTGCTGGGGGACAGGGCGGGTGGGGCGTTTCTGAGGCCTGTTTGCTTTTGTCCTCAGCTGCTCCCAGAACTGACCAACCCCGACGAGCTGCTGTCCTACCTGGGCCCTCCCGACCTGCCCACCAACAGCAACGAGGACCTGCTCTCCCTGTTCGAGAACAACTGACCCTCCAACGCCTGCCCTCCCGAGGCGGACCGCTGTGGATGGCGCCTCTGCCTCCCGCCAGCCACACCAGCCCTCCCGCCTCCTCCCGGCTCCCCTGCAGTTTCAAACCGGAGCTGCAGGTTTGGGGGGCCGCCCCTCCCGCCCGCCCGGCTCCACGCCCCTCCGGCCGCTCTGCATACACGTCCCGCCCACCACGCCGACCTGCCTCCCGGATCTGACCCGCAGACTCCACCCGTGCCCCCCACCTGGCGCGGGGCCTGAGCACTGGAGAGGGGCCGTGGGCGCAGCCTGGGCCCGGGCCCCCCTGCCCGGTGCAGACGGTCCCCCGTGCTTCCCCGGCGGCGGCCTCATCTTCATCTTCCAGTCCCCTCGCCCCACGAACACGCAGCTCCACGGTTTTACAGCCCCTCCCCAGGCAGCGCCGGGTGCCCCATTAAAGGATTCCCACGTGGCCTGAGGTCTTCCTTGCACCGAGCGCCCCGCCCGCCCGCCCGGCCGGGGATTTCCTGTCCCTGGAACTTTCCACACTGGCTGAGCCCGAGCGGCTCTGTGTGTGATGCTGTCATGGCCGGAGACACCTCCGCCACCGGGTCCCGCGGGCACCGGGCCGCTGGCCGGACAGGAGTCCAGCCCTTCCTGGCCCGCGGCCTGGCCTCCCTCCAGCTGGCAGAGGAGGGAGATGCCGTCCGTCCTTGACCTTTTGGGCCCAGATGTCCACCTGCTTGTCTGCCTGCAGGGGTGCCACAGGGGACCCCTGAAGTTGAGGCCCAGGCCCTGCCCAGGGAGGAGCAAGGCCCGCAGGGATAGGCCTGCACAGGGCACTCTCCGCGAAGCCACCACCACGCACACGTGCACACCCGGGCCCTGTTGGGGGGTTGGTGGGCAGAGCAGGTGCAGACTCCATGGTCCAGCCTGAGGCACTGCCTGCTGCACTGCAGTGCCCTTGGGTGTGGAGCATCAGGAGGGACACAGGCCTGAGCAGTGACTGGCTCAGGGCAGTGACACAGGGACCCCAGCCCTGACATCGGCTCCTCAAAGTGTGGGAACGAGGGGGAGGGGTGGGGTTCAGCAGATGCCCTCGGCTCAGCACCAGCTGTGCATTCCATGGGGTTCCTACATGCGCTTCCCCTTGGGGAGAGGATGGGTGTCAGGAAGAGCACAGGTGGTGACAGTCTGGTCCCCAGTGGAGTGCTGGCTCCCTGGGTTTTCACCTCAGTGTGAGTCACTTAATGTTCCTACATGTGTACCACACATTACACAACTACACAAAAACCAGCCAGACTCCTCCTCCCAGCAGACCATATGCTTGGCCAGAAAACAAGTCCCTATGTCAGATTGAAATCAAGGTGCCTTCTCTCACCACAATGGGATGGAGCTGATGTCAGTAATGGGAGGGAAACAAATTCACAAACATCATGGCCAAAGGGTAAAAGAAGAAATCAGTGACAAAGTGTATGAGGTGTGAGGGGATGCCAGAGGGAAATCTATGGCTGTCAATGTCTCCGCTAAAATAGGGTCTCAGTACTCCTAACCTCGGTAGGAATTGGAGAGAATAAGCTAATGCAGAGGGAGGCAGAGGTGAGCTGGAGAACCCAAACATTAACGGCAGCACAGGTGCCTCTGAGCAGCAGCAGAATGAGCAAGCTTCAGTGCGACGGAAGGCATAAACAGAAGTGAAATGGGGGCTTTGTTCAGCCTTACAGAAGCAAGAATGACGAGAAAATATGAGGAGCAACTGTGTGCCAATAAGTCAACCTCGCTGAGCAAATTCCTAGAAATGCAAAAAATACCCAAAGTGCCCCAAGAAGGAATAGCAACTGGCCCGGTTGGCTCAGTGGCTTGAGCAGCAACCTATGAACCAGGAGGTCCACGGGGGGTGAAACTGCTCCACCCCTTGGGTGTTCTGGGCTGACTGGCGAGAGGAAGGGTGCTGGCGAGCTGGCCTGGTGAAGGTCACACCAAACCAGGGGACACGCTCCAGGGCCAGGTTCCTCATCGCCCGCCTGTGGGCTGATAACCTCATTTATGCATCCATTCCAGACTGATGTTTTGTTTTGTTTTTAAATATAGTTTTATTGATTTTTTACAGAGAGGAAGAGAGAGGGACAGAGAGTTAGAAACATCAATGAGAGAGAATCATCGATCAGCTGCCTCTTGCACACCCCCTACTGGGGATGTGCCCGCAACTAAGGTACATGCCCTTGACCAGAATCGAACCCAGGACCTTTCAGTCCCCAGGCCGACGCTCTATCCACTGAGCCAAACTGGTTTCGGCCCATTCCAGACTTTGAATGTTGCAGATGCTATGATTCTGGCAGAGCTGGTTGGGGGGGGGGTGCCCTGTACAGGCAAAGGGCAGTTCTGGAAACACGGCGGGGTGAGGGATCAGTGTGGCAGGAGAAATGTCCACCCAGAGACCAGAGCCAGCCAGCTGGGGCCGGACTGTGAAGGGGCCGACTCTGTCCTGTACTGAGGGCCTGGCCCAGGAGGTCTCCAAGGCGGGGTGGCTACAACATCAGATGTTTTGAGAATTACCACTCAGAAAACACCTGGGACCAGGGCACAGTAACCAGTGAAAAGGCTGCTGCCGTGAGAGGCAGCAGCGGAGGGAGGAGCCCTGCCAGGGAGTGGCGTCGAAGTCCCTGAAAACCTGAACCATGGGCCCAGATGAGGTTCACCATGGCAGGTGTGTAAGGAACACAAGACACAACTCAGACACACAACAAACCTGTGAAACAGTTCCCGGAGGAACGTGGAGGCCATCGAGGCAGCTGTGCGGGTACGAGGAGGGGAGATGCCTGGAAGTCACAGGCTGTCCCAGCGGGGGCAGCTTCCGCCCAGCTGTGAGCAGGGACCAGGTGGCAGGAGGACCAAGCTAGGCCCTAAGGAGAGGAGACCAGTGGCCTGCTTCCAAAGGGGCGTCTTTATCCGGCTCACCTGGTTCATTTTCCTGTGGTAGCCTCTTACCGGAGATGTTTTGGAGAGCACTTGTGTACGGTAAGCTACACCTGCACAGCTAAGGAGGGCATTCTGCTTGCTGGGAGGGAACCTGGTTAGCCAGGCCAGGGCGCTGTTCGATTCACTTTGGGGACTGAATGGTCCAAGCAAGGCGCAGACAGCCCCACGTTACGGAGGTTCCTGCCTGCTGATGCCTCACTCTGTTAGGATGTCCAGCTCCTCAGACCCCAATCAAGGGTCCGCTACAACGTCTGCCCCTTAGACAAACACGTGCACGTTTGAGTACAGACAGCGGCCTGTGGACACAGGGAGCTGAGGCTGCGCCATGGCGACGGTGAAGAGAAGGCAGAAGTCACAGCATGCTGCATTAAGCGTTTCTGCATCCCTCCGTCCATCCATCCCTTCATCCCTCCATCCCTCCTTCCATCCGTCCCTGGGAGTGTAGGGGGGCTCTCAGGCTCCCAGGGGAGGGGGGGCGGAGTTGAGCCAGGGCCTGGGCTCCTCTCAGGGTCGGATGAAGGCTAGTCGCTGCCTGCCGGTCACAAAGCGCGCTCAGTGGGGGCCTCGAACCCCGAGCAGGCCGGTGGCCCCAGGACCCTGCCTGTCCGCTGGTAAACGGGGTTCTGGAAGGTGGTGAGGACGCAGCCACGCGCGGCTCCCCGCACAGGCAGGACCGCGGCCAACCGCCCGGGAGGTGCGCGGCGCGGCCTCCACCGCGGAGCCCGCCCTCCGGCCGCCGCCCTGCGGGAGGACGGGCGAGGCCGGCGATGGCCTCCGCGCTGCGCCCCGGCGCTGGTCACGGTTTCTGGGCAAACGCGAGGGTCGCTATGCGCGTTCGGCACCAGCGATGACAGGGCCGGGGGCTGCGCTGCGGGGCTCCCGGGCGGCTCCGTCCTCCCGGCGCCGGAGCCCGGCCCGCGGGGCGGGGGCCGGGCGGACCGAGGGCGGAGCGCAGCCGCGCAGGTGGGGCGCCGGCCCGCGCCGCAGCGCCTCCCCGGAGGGGCGGGCGAGCCGGGTATTTGGGGAAAGTAGGGCGTTTGGGCGCATTCCGTCACCGCCCGGCCCGCGGCGCCCACGCCTCCTCGGCGGCCCGGGCTCCGAGCGGCGCGGGCCCAACGACCTCCGGCGCCCGGCGACCTTGAGGCCCGCGCTCGCCTCAGTGCCCCTCCGCGCAGTGGGGAGACGCCGGGCGGGGCTGGGGGCTGCCTCCCCCCGCGGCCCCCGCGCCGCCCCCTCGCGGCTCCCGCTGCCCCCGCGCCGCCCCCTCGCGGCCCCCGCGGTCCCCCCCCTGTGGCCCCCGCGCCCCGCCCTGCAGTGCGCGGAGGAGCCCGCGGGCGGGAACCTGCGGAGGAGCGCAAGTGCGCACGCGCGCATGCGGTCCCGCCCACCACCAGCTGCGCCTCTTCCCATAGGCCGGCAGCACTGTCATTTTGGCCGGCGCGCGGTTCCGATTGGCCAGGGTAGAGGCGCGCGACCGGCGGGGGGCGGGTCCAGGCGCGGCTATAAGAAGGGCAGGCGGCGGCGCTCGTGCCGCTTTGCAGACGCCGCCACCCGAAGCCGTCCGTGACCAGCCATGGTGAATCCGACCGTGTACTTCGACATCGCCGCGGATGGCGAGCCCTTGGGCCGCGTCTCCTTCGAGGTCTGGCGGGCGGCGTGGGCGCGCCAGGGCAGCGGGGGTCGGGCGGCGGCGGAGGGGCTCGGCGGGCGGCCGCCGGGAGTGCGGCGGCGGCGCCATTTCCTGCGAGGGGCCATTTTGGGAGCCGGGGGCGGCGGCAGACAAAGGCGGGGGGAGGGGCGGCCGCGCCCTTCCGGCCGCGCACATGCTCGGACCGCGAGCCGTTGGCCACCGCGGGCCCCGCGCGTGGCAACGCCCCTACCGGACAACGGGCGCGGCGCCCCCTGAGCGCCGGAAGGGTCCTCGCGGCGGCCGCCCCCGGGCGTCTTCCCCTCCCCGGGCCGGACCCCGTGACGACGTCAGGGGCGGGAGGGACCGTGCAGAGAGGCCGCCGCGGCCCCTGGCGCGCTCCCGGTCCGGCGGAAGCTCCGGCGCCGCGGCCCGCCTCCCGCGCGGTGACGACGCCTCTGGGCGAGGCCGGTGGCCGGGAGGCCCCGCGGGCCGGGCGGCGGCCTGGGCGGCGGAGCTGCGTCCGCGTGGCCTGTGCCGCCGCCAACGCCCCGGAGGCGCAGGGCGCGGGCCTTCGTGTGGGTCGAGGCGGCCTGTCGGCGGCGCCTGGCCGGTGGCGGGCACTCGGCCTCGTGGGGCCGGCGGTTCCGTGCCAGCCGCCTGCCGCCTGGATCATCTGTCACGGCCACGTGGAAACTTGGCCGCGCCCGGCGCGTAAGGCCGTCCTTTCCGGTGAAGCGGGATCAGCGCGGTCCCTGGGCGAGAGCGGCGGTGGGGCAGCCGGGGGCAGGGCCGGCCCCCACCCCCCACCAGCCGCTGACAAGAGCGCCCGCCGCCTGGAGCGGAGCAGCCCTGCATCTGCCATT